CGACATGTTCGATTTGTTGGTCGAAATGTTACAGTACTACTGATTTGTGTTGACTTATGGTCCAGTCTATGATCCCGATGTACCTGCTTGCTATCAAAATAGTACTTAATATTTATGATGTAACAACAACCAACATCCAATCATTTATGCAAACTTACTCTATTTATACGTGATTTCTAACATGATTCTGATTTTTTTTCGAAATAATACTGTTTGTTTGAAATAATTATGCTATATTTTTTTTAGGTCGTTCATTAAATTATGCATAATTATTCATAGTAAATAATTTTATCAAGCCGCAATTTTATTATTTTAATTTTAATAGATAATAATCAAATTGTTACTATTTTGTATTTTATTTATCTCACTCTTTTTATTAATTTTTTAGAATATACCACTTTATTTTTTTTTATATACTGCACTTTTACATTAAAATACTATTATTCATAATCTTGTAATTCAATAATAATAATAATAATAATAATAATAATAATAATAATAAGAGTAAATTATATAACTTCTCTTTGTATTTTAGTAAAAATGTATAAAATATCATATGTTTTATTTATTGTCGAAAACTCTTATATGTTAATGTAAAATTTGTATAGAATACTCTGTTCGTCCAAAACTTTCATTTGATTGTAAATATAAATATAATTATACAAGTTTTATACAAGTTTTATACAAATAAAAGAGGTAGATATATTCAATAGTCATTTTCACTAAAAAAAAAATAATATATTTGTAACGGAATTCCGTCCCTAATGTTCACGTAGCTAACGTAATTCCATTCCTAATTCCGTTTCTAATGTCATTAGTAACGGAAAAAGTAGATTTAGAGACAAAAAAATTTTGTTACAAAAATGATTTTTTCTTGTAGTGTTTTTAATATAGTAAATAAGTAAATAATCGATTAATTCTTTCATTTTATAATTTTTTGAAGATAAATTGTTATTTAATTTTTACAAAAACTATAAAAATAAAAGATTAATCATTTATTTATTTATTTTGATAAAAAGAGACATATTTTACTTCTTTTATTCTATAAAACTTGCACAATTTAGGTATGTATTAATAATCAAATATCAATTTTGGACGAATAGAGTATTATGTGCAAATTTGATATTAACACGAGGGATTTCACGCAATAAGTAAAATACATGGTATTTTTGCGTATACTTTACCCTAATAATAATACTTAACCCAAAATCCCAAATGATGATTCTTCATCTTTAATCCCAAATAACCACGCAGAATTTGCACAGGAAATTCCTTTTATATGAAATTATTACTCTTCTAATTCGCTTAAAATTATATTACTATTTTTTTTTTCTATCATTAACTAGATTTATACCTAATTCATTTAAAATAAATATTTTTATCCACTTACAATTTTATTACGCATATTTTAATAAATAATAATTAATTTGTCATTATTATTTTTATTATTTTTTTATTAATAATTTAATAAATTTATCAAAATACTCCTATTTTACATTATATATATTGATTTTAGTGTTAAAATATTACTCCTTTGATCCAGCTAATTTGTCCTTTTTAGTTTATGCAAAAAGTTTTAGGTATAGTGTAATTAGTAAATGATTAAAAAATATATTAGTAAAAATAATTATAATTTAATAAAAATAATTATAAATTAGACTAAATAGTTTAATTAAAATAAAAAATTTATAAATTATTAATTTAAAAATGTGACTAAAACGTATAATTATTATTTTTTTAAAAAAATGATAAATTATATGAGACAGACAAAAATAAAATAAATATATAAATTAAGTAAGACAGATAGAGCAGTAAATTTTAATTTATATGAACGAATTGACAAATTTGTCTTTAATTGTATAATAGAGATTAAAAATAATAAATAAATAGATGATAAAAATATAAAATTTATATTTAAAAAAATAGAATAATAATTGTTTGACGTCCGAAATAAAAATATAAGATAATAGTATTTGAACGAGGGAGAAAATAATTTTATCAAACCAACTGAGAAAAATATTATTCATGAATGTATTCCGACAAACATAGTGCGAATGGGGCACTAATTAATGAAGTTGACAAAAATGTCATATCAATTCGTCTCATCACATATCACTAGGGTTGAGCAAAATATTCGAAATTCGAAAATTTAATCTGAACTAAATTGAAATTTAAAATTTGGTTCGAATTTTTGGATTAGATCGAATTGAATTTTTAATAAATTTCGGATTTTCGGATCGAATCGGATCGGATCGGTGTACTTAAAATCCGAATCAATCCAAAATCCGAAATATAATATTTTAATATATTTTTTATTATACATATTTAATATTTTATTAGAAAATATTATATTTTAATATAAAAAACTCAAATTTATTAATTATATTTTATATATTATATATATTTAATATTATAAAATAATAATAAAATATAACAAAATTTATAAATTAAAAAAATAATAATAAAAATATTTAAAATTTCAGATTTTTCGGTTTGATTCGAATTTTTTAGTTCGGATTACGGATTTTCGAATTTCGGATTTCGGTTATTTCGGTTCGGTTCGAATCGATTTTTTCAAAAATTTCGGATTTTCGAATCAGTTCAAATTTGACAAAATCTGAACCGAAAATCCGAATGCTCACCCCTACATACCACGTGCCGACCCTAAACCCACCGACCCAACTTTAATGCCAATCTACCCTTCCACCAATAATAATTTTGATTGGAATATTTTATTAAAATAGAATATTTTTGAAATATTAGGGAATTGAAATGTTCATTCCATAAATAGTAAAATTTTAAATCTGAATAGTTCTATAATATGATATAAATAGGTATTGATATAATATTTTGAATATAAAATTAATTTTCAATATAATATAAAAAAATAAAAAGTAAGTGATTAATTTAATATTTTTAGGAAAAAAATGAGATGAATAGCGAATTTAAAATTCAATCCCTAAACAAACACATATTTTAATGTTTGATAGGTGGAATTGTATTGATACTAATTTTTTTTAGGAGTAAATAAAATATATATTATGTAAATATATTTATATTATATTTTGACAATATTTATAAAAAATCAAGAAATTCAAGGAGAACAAATGCAAAAATGTTAGTATTATTATCGATTGTTATTATATATACCATCCGTTCCAAAACTATAGTTCGGATTGTGTTTGACACGAGATTTAAGGAATATTAATATTATATCAGTAGTTGGCAAAAGTACCGATAAAAGACTTTTTTGCCCTTATGAGTGTATTAGTGTAAAAAGTAGCGACAATTGTATAATAATAATGAAAAAGTAATTGTAGTTTTATAATGATATAGTTATTTATGAAAATGAGACTATTGTTTTGTGACGAAAAAAAAAAAATGATAAACAGAATTATTATATTGAGACGGAGGGAGTATCTTTTTTCATTTCAATCAAAGTAGCTTTTTGAATTTTTATAGTAAATTAAAAAATAATACTATTATTTTATTAGTTAATAAAAGTGTGTAAAATAATTTGATATTTTTTTCATTTATATTTATATATAAATTAGTTGTATATATGTATTAATATATTTGTAATTCATATAAAAATTAATAATATTTTAACTGTAGTGTATAATTATTTTTAATATAATAAAAAATAGACATTTGAGTAAAAAGTATAAAACAAAAAAATATAAGTAACAAACTATTTTCAGTTGGGACAGAAGTGTATATATATATATATATATATATAACAGACAGTGAATGTGCAATGTTCTGAGTTAAAATAAAGGATGATATTCTTGTAATAATAATATAAATCAAATTTTCTGTGGAGACCATAACTAATAAGAAAAATAAAAAGATTTATTTTTATTAGATTAAAATTTTAATACGACATACTTTATTCGTTCCATATCTATATATTAATTTTCTTTTTGTACGAAATTTTAGAAATATTAGTAGTATTATATTGGAATGTAGTAAAAGTAAAAATAAAAAAAACTAAACTAATCTTATTAGTATTGTATGATATAAAAGTAATAACATTTGTGAAATATATTGTAAATTGAAAGAGTATTTGTAATGTTAGTAAAAAAAAAAATTGAATATTTTGTTATGGAACGGATCAAAATAAAAAAATAGATAAATTATTAAGGGATTGAGAGAAAAGTATTAATTACAGAGGAATAGAAGGGAAGTATTAAATAAAATATTTAATCTATTATTTTTAATATTTCAAAAAAATAATAATATATTCTTATTAAAAATTATAAATATTAATAACAAATACAACACGAAAGAAGATACAGATTTACGTGGTTCACCAACAACGTGTTGACTACGTCCACGGGTATAAACGGAGAATAAATTTATTGACGACCATAAGATTATACGGATTACAGATTTTATATCTTTGAGTCTATTCAAATAAATTAAGAGAATATATAAACGGGCGCAACTCAATGCAAACTCAAAAATCCAATACAGCATACAGTCGAGTCGGGGGCTATTCCGCGCCCTCGGACCCCAGGCAAAGGGGATTTTGCCCCCTTAACCCCCGATTCGCTGACTGGGCAGCGAGACTTCTGTGAAAACTCAACGAAGTGAAAACCTACATTCAAGGCATGTCACTAGCATCATTTTTGCCCAATTTTATTTTAATTATAGGATAAATTCAATAAAAAAAATTAATTATGATTCTTAAATGATGAAGTACCAGATTAAATATATATATATATATATTTGGCCATGTGTTGGGAGGGAACTTGCTCAACCCCTCAAGCTCTATACATATGGTTTGCTTAATGTGACTTGGTTTGTCGGGCTTAGTTTATAGGTATTAGGTTCAGCTGGGGTTTACTAGCGTCTATTTTGGTAACGACTGTGGGTTCCACGTTTTAAAAAAATAAATAAAATAAAATTAAAAAATAAAATAAAATAGACTGGTTATATCTATACTGGAAGACCTATGCACTTCATCGTCGTCTATATAAAGAGGAGTGTGTGATACTAGCTGAGGTAGCATATATGAGTATCATCATCTCATCGAAGATTAATTATACACAATTATATATCTAGAGAGAGAGAGGAGAGAGAGCAAATTAATTAATTAATTTAAATTAATAAAAAAATTAAAGTGAATTATTAATTAAGATGGGGCTAATGGGGAGATTAGTTGCAGCGATAGAGTTCAAGGCAGGGGGAGATGTGTTCCACGAGCTGTTCAGGGACAAGCCACAGCACATCGCCGCCGCCAGCCCGGCCCGAGTCTACGGCTGCGATCTCCACGCCGGAGAGTTCGGCAAAGTCGGAACCAACATTTGCTGGAAATACTTCCATGGTATGCTAATTATACTCTATATATATGGCCGTAAAACCCTAATTTTTTGCATTATCATGCAATTTGGGGTTCTTCTTTTTTTATTTATTTTTTATATTAGGTATGAAAAATCGTTTTTTTAATAGTATAATAAAAAAAAGTATTTGTATTGATTTGTTGATTTTGGTTGAATTGATTGAATATATATTATTAACTAATTATTAACTAAATTTCCAAAAATACTCTAAATTATTATTATTATTATTATTTTCAATAAAATATTATTTTTTTAATCTTTGCAGTAACTCCAAATGTGTTAATTTTTTAAAAACGAATAGAAATAAAATTTGTGTTAATATTTTACAAACGAATAGAAATAATATTTATAGAGACGTGTTATAAAAAAATAATAATTTGCTAACCATACCCAAAGCCCACTCTATTTTAATTTAGTTTTGAAATTTATAAATTTTATCTTTTATCTTGTTTAGAAATTCTAAGTACATGATTGTCACCTTTTGGATAATATACATAAAAAGGTCTAACTAATTTATTATTCTAAAGTTTTATTTCATTTTTTCTTTAATCAATCGTACATTCGCAAAATATTACAGACGGAAAAGATAGGATTGCAAAACAAGTAATTCAAAAGATCGACGAGGAGAAGAAGTTGATGGAATTCAAGATGCTCGAAGGGGATTTGATGGAGAAATACAAGAACTTCCTCATAACTATCCACGTCGAGACCAAGGGGAATATAGAACTAGTCACTTGGACATTAGAGTACGAGCTTCTCAACGAAGATGTTGAGCACCCGATATCCTTGTTGGCTTTCTTTATCGAGCTCACAAAAGATATCGAGAGCCATCATCTCAAACCCTGAACCTCGTGCTCGTGCTCGTGCTCTTGCTCGTCGTATATTGTGGATGATGTTTGGTGTGTGAGATGTATTGCATATGAATAAGTTCTTGATGTTGTAATAAATCGTGTGTTTCTTACATTTGCTCTAATGTTTTGTTGAAAGATTGGCTACAATGGTGCTTTGTAGTGTGAAATTTGAAGAAATAAAGGCTTAGTTTAATTTACAGTTTTTTTAGTATATTTATTATGTATTTTTTGTTTACAATTTATATAAAAATATAGTATCCATTTCCTCAACTTCTAAAGTACTCCCTCCGTCCCATATATTATGGGTCTATTACTGTAGATACTAAAAATAATTATCGTATAATAAAAATAATTATGAATTAAAATTAAGATAACTAAATAGTTTAATTAAGATTAAAAAAATTATAAAATTTAAAATGAGATTGAAGTGTATAATTATATTTTCAAAAAAGGAATGAACAAATTACGTGGGACAGACAAAAATAGAAAATAAGAACAAATTATGTGGGACGGAGGGAGTAATTATTTAGGGTGTGTTCTCCGGTCCAATTTTGGTTGCACAATAATCTAGCCCAAAATTGGGCTGAAGGAGTTTTAGGAGACAGACTGTTTCTTTATTTTTTAAGGTTTTTTTTTTTAAATTATAAATATAAAATAATTTTATAATAATTATAATTTAATAAAATATATACAATATATATGTTATATTATAGAGAATAAAATTTTTTTATAATACAAATAAATAAAAATTTAGAAATATATATGTATGTATAATATTAATTTATAATCAAATTATACTAATTATTACACATTTTTATATTATTATACTTATTACCATCAAATCAATACACGTCAAAACTCTTCGAACTCAACTTAAACCTAAACACAAAAGAAACACATAAATTCAAACTCATCTCAAAATTCAAATAAAAATCAAACCCAAACCCAAATCCAAACCCAAACCCAAATTTGCCCCAAACCCCTGAGAGAAACACACTCTTACTTTTGGACTTTTGGTATATGGATTAGTAAATATCAGTATTTTAATATAAGTTAGTAGTATATAGTTGTGTAATCATAAAATTATTTTTATTAAAAAGCAATAGGATGCAATTGTATGATTTTAAATAAATATAAAAAAAATACTCCCTCCGTCATAAACAAGGTGCAATATTTATTTTTTACATGAGTTTTTAGGTGGGTAGTATTAAGTAGAATAATTTAGAAATTAGATGATTTGATGGAGAGAGAAATATATATTTTATTTTTTTATTTGGATGATGTGAGGAGATAAAGTGTGAGGTAGATATTAAGTATAATTAATTATTTTCTATTTTGAAAATGTTGCAAGGTGTTTGGGACATATCAAAAAAGAAATGTTGCAGGGTGTTTGGAAAAAATGTTGCAAAGTGTTTGGGACATACCAAAAAAGAAATATTGTAGGGTGTTTGGGACGGACTGAATAATAGGATGGAATTGTATGATTTTAAATAAATATAAAAATAGGGGTATTGTTATTTATGGTAGTAACTATGGTTACTTAAAATATTTACCTTTGAATTAAATAAGCGGAAATAAAAATATGTAAATTTTTGGGCGGACTATATTTTATAGGTTAAATTATTATTATTATTATTATTATTATTATTATTATTATTATTAGTTTGTAATTAGATATTTTTGTTATTTAAGTTTTGGAATTATAGTATGCATGTAAGCGGATTTTTTTTGGCACATTTGGTCATCTGAACTCGGAGATGTCTGCGTGGGACGTCGGAAGACACGTCTCCGCCGGGTAAGCGCTATTGCAGGATATATGGAATATTAATTTTTGAGAAATTTTTTTTTTTTAGTTTCATAATTGACTCTCCTTATTATTTTAGTCTAATAATTAGAACGTGTATAAAAAACTCCCATAAGTAATTTTTTGTTTTTTTGCACAAGTAGTCCCCTAGTACCGACGATGTGCATGTGGTACCTATATTGTTCGCCGGAGCACATGTATCCGTCAAGTGATGCATATCTGACGAACACGTGTGCTCGGAGTGCTAAGGAAAATAATATTTTGTATAAAAAATAACAGTGTTATTTAACGCGTGGCACACCTGTGCATGTATGTCCGCTAGATAGGCGCCATGGTGGACAGGTTGATTTTTTTCTTTTCATTTTTGTTATTTTTTGTATTTTCTAAATATATAATAATAATAATAATAATAAGAGTAAACTGTATTTTTTTAATACCATATTTGATCATTTATCATCGTATAACTTTAAATGAATCATGTCTGAAAATATTCTTGTAAGTAAAATTTTTTCACTATAATGGTCCTCCATTGTCGGACTGGCCACTCTGATCCGCCATTACTGACGCGACTGATATGTCATCGCCACGTCAGTGATACGTCGGAGTACCATTTTAACGAATTTTTTATACTTGCGGGACTATTTTCAACAATGTCTATTTAGCGAATTAAGAAAATGTTTTACTATTTTTTCATTTACTTTTTCTCATAGAAATATATTTCATATTGATTTAGAAGAAATTATTTTTGAATTAAAAATTTTGCAAATGATTTTTACCGAATAATTTAAAATCATCCATTGAAATATAAACTAACAATACGTGTAATTAGAAGTGGTAATTTGAGACGGTTTGATTTTTTTCGTACTGGCCCAGCCCGACCTGATTCCAAACTGTGCTGGGCCAGCACGGCCCGCTTTGCAATCAGGCCTGGAAAGGCTGGCCCAATTTGAAACCTGACCGTGCCGTGCCGCACCTTTACCATTCAAGTATGTTGTAATTTTTGTATATATTTCAAAATTTAATATATATATATATAATTTTATTAAAATATAAATATTAATTTTAAAACCCGGGCTATGTTAGGCACAGCCCGATCTTCATGAGCTCGGACACAGTCCGATTTATTAGCGTGCTGGGCCAAGCATGGCCCGAAAAATTTTGAACCTATTCTTGAAAGTTCAAGCACAACTTTTTCATTTCGTGCTCGGACCGTACTTATTTTTGTCATCCCTATATGTAATATAATATTATAATATAAAATATATGTTAATATAATACAAATGTATTCTATCTGTCCTAAATATTTTGTCTCTACTATTGTAGATAAGAGAATTTAGATAAAATATAATTATTAGATACCATAATTTATATAAAATATAATTAGTAAGTAATTAAGAAATATATTAGAAAAAAATAATTATTGTATAATAAAAAAGACTTATAGATTAAAATTAAAATAATTAAATAGTTTAAATAAAATTAAAAACATTATTAATTATAAAATTTAAAATGTGATTAAAGTGTATAATTATATTTCAAAAAAGGAAAAGATAAATTATGTGAAATATATGAAAATAAAAAATAGAGAGAAATTATGTTGAATGAAGAGAGTAATATATAAATTGATTTTATATGATAATAATTCATAAAATGTATATTACAATTAATTTAATATGTTAGCACATCATATATATATATATATATATAATAAAATAGACATCAATGCTAATAATCTATACACAACTTTATTATATTAATGAAACTATTTATATATATATATATATATATACATATAAAAATTATCCCGTAAGTGAATTTGTTTTTGGCATAATTGATCCTATAGCATCTGAGATGTGCACGCAGAATCTGTCTACTATGCCGTAGCACACATCCGCCAAATAGGTGTCACCTTGAGGGCTTTTTTTTTTTGCACATGAGGACTAATTGGCCAAAAAGTTCATTTACGGGACTATTTCTTTACTGACTCAAGTTACAAGATTAAAATGATAGTAGATGAATTAACCGACTAAAATAACAGTTTTTTCAATATAACTTAACATGGTACTGATTAAGTTTAATCAACATACTAGCTAATCACTTGGTGAAGATATGGATGCTTTAAACTAATGTATATTTCATGCAAACAGTGTTTGTATAGTATTCAGTTTGAATGTATAGAGAATAAAATTTTATATAATACAAATATATAAAAAAAATATATTTGTTTATTTATCATTATCATAAATTAGTTTTATAAAAATAAATAAAAAGTTTTAAAAATAAATAAAAATATTTGTTAATTGGGCAGGGAGATACAATTTAAAAAGTTTTGAATAGATTTTATATGTAAAATATTAGAAGTTTAATTAAATTGATTTATATTTGTTCACTGTGTTTAAGATTAATAAATTTACTAAAATTAAAAAAAAAATTGATCTTTTGTTGAACGGACAAATATATATATATATATATATATTTTATTTGAACTACAAATTTTTATAAAAAAATAAAATATATATAGATATATTTAAATATTATCTAAGAGTGGTTGGGTGCATAGTCAAGATTATATTTAGGGATGTCGACGGGGCGGGTTCGGGACGGGTTCTGCAGGCCCCGAGACCCACCCCTCCCTGCTTCCACCCGGCCCGGGTTTGGGGCCAACTGGACAAACCTATTTTTTTTAAAAATATATAATAATAAATATTTTTTTAACAATCAAATACTAAAACAAATAGCATTAAAAGAAAAAAAAATCTAAAAACAATCAAATATTGATCCATAACAATAAGATAAATAAATAATATATTTTTATTATATAAATATACATATATTAGGTATAATAATTTTAAAAAATTATCTCGAACAGGCGACTAATTGAATTTTATATTTAAAATTATTTAAGTAAATAAATAATATATTTTTATTATATAAATGTACATATATATTAGTTATAATAATTTTAAAAAATATCCGGGTTCGGGTCCGGGTCCGGATTGGAGCGAATTTTTAGTAAAACCCGTAGCCCGTCCTGAACCCGGCCGGGTTTAAAATTTTAAATCCATAACCCGCCCCGAAACATATTATTTAGACCCAAACCCGCCCCATTAAAAACGGGTCCGGGGCGGGTCTAGACTAACCCGCCCTACCCCACCCCATTTGACATCCCTAATTATATTTTGAGGTATGCACGTTGCAATGAACAGCTAGCAAACATCCGAATATATTTATAATTACATATATAAACCTAAACCTTCCATTACTCTCTCGCACGTTGATTCATTTTTTTATTTACTATGTATACATGTAAGGATTTGTTTTTATCTTTTTTTATGGTTCTAATAATTATATACTCTTTCCTTATATAAATTAGAAAAAAAAAAAAAAAAACCCAAATTCAAATGCAAACCATTTTTTCAGAAAGTGAAAAATAAAAATCTATTTTAGTTTTTTATTTTATTTTAATTTTCATTTAAATAACACTACAATAAGATATTTTATTAAAAAATAATTCTATTTTTATAAGAAAATGGTTAGTAGAATAGTAAAAAAAAAAAAAAAAAAAAAAAAAAAAGCAAAGTGAATACAATTACTCGGATATGTCACTAGGTGAAAATGAGAAATTACTAATTTTATTCCATACACCATTCAAATTTATTTTCATTTTACTTATTATACTATCATAATAAAATGTTCTCGTATTTTTTACTATAAAAAATAAAAAGTATACTCTCCGTCTCAAATATGATGCAATATTTAATCTCGGTACAGAAATTTATATAAGTAATATTAAGTTGAATAATTTGATAATTAAAATGATGTGATGTAAGAGACATATATATATATATATTTTTATTTTGGTGATACAATAAGATAAAATATTGTGTAAGAATTACATGTAATTAATTATTTTCTATTTCAAAAATGTTACATATTGCTCGGAACAAATAATAATAATAATGTTTGAAACATAGGGAATAACAAAAAATGTACACTCATATTAAAATTAGTGCCTAAAAGTATGAGCAGGTGACAATAGTTATTATTAAAATTTGTGATAATTGAATAAAAAAATGGAAATATATAATATATATATATATATTTATACATAAAATACTAGTATGTAACAAATTTATATTCTTCAATTTTATCTTGAATCATTTTTTAAAGCAATCCTTTAGTTTATCTGAGTAAGGTGTTACTCATCGATCATCCACATATACAAAACCGATTGCTCAAACAAAAAATTCACATCTCCTCATTGATCAAATGGCTAGTTTTTTCCCCTCGAACCTAACGGTTTTCATCGCGCTATTGGCACTTAATTATTCGAGCATCGTTGGGGCGAACTTTCTAAAGAATGCATGCATCATAGAGTGGGGCGCCGAGCATTCGGTATTTCAGGGTAATGGCGACTATGCGAAACTCACCCTCGATCCAATCTCAGGTGTGTAATAACATATATATATGTTCGACATCAAATTGTATATGATAGTGTAAAGAAAAAGGTCTCTTCTTACCGGTTCTAAATTTTGAACCGTACTCGAGAGTTTCCTATCTCATATGGAGCATCAATTTTTTTGGTATCATGTTACAATATCTATCGAATAGGATTACTCAATGTAAATATATGGTCTCTATGTATGTTGAGTAAAAAATATGAACTAATCCATTTTATTTAGGCTATTGTTTGATTTGGCTCTATTCTTTTCAGTTTTTTTGGTAATTTTACGTTACAAATATACGATTTTCGATAAAAATATAGTAGTATATTTTTTATATAAAATATCAAAATTTCATAATTATTTTATTTAAAATAAAAAACCAAACTACAAAAACGAGAAGGTGTGTTCTTTTGAGGGTTTGTATTTTATATTTATGATTTAAATAAAAATTGAATTGAAATAGTTATATAATATGATATAAATAGGTGTTATATAATATTCTGAATGCAAAATTGATTGTTAATATATATAAGTTAAAAAAATTCAAAATAAATGTTTGATTTGATATTTTTGAAACAAAATTTGATAAATAGTAAAATTTTGAATAAAAAAACCCTTAGAAAACTTTTATAGAAATTTAAATCGTAAATTTTCTTTTGACAAATTTTCGTAAAACTGTTTGTCTTTTTTTTTTTTACTTATTACAGGATCAGGAATTCAATCGACAAAATCATTTTTGTATGGAAGCATTGAAATGCATATCAAATTGGTGCCGGGAAACTCTGCTGGAACAGTAACAGCATACTTTGTATGTATAATAAAATATCGATATAGATCATTCTTGCACTTCATAATATTATAGATCATAAATAGATTCATATACGATTTTTTTTTTTTTTTCTTAATGACAAATCAATGAACAAAAATGGTTGATTAAATGTCATCAATGGCAGCTATCTTCCCATGGGGACAACCACGATGAGATCGACTTTGAGTTTCTTGGGAATGTGTCGGGGGAACCATACATTATCCACACGAACATATATACCGATGGGGCAGGAGGCCGAGAACAGCAGTTTTACCCATGGTTCAACCCGACACTTGATTACCACAACTACACGATTCAGTGGAATCCATCTCAAGTTGTGTAAGTGAAAATAGATATCTTAGAAAATATCATCGAAAATTTGCACTAAAAATCGAACAAAAGCTTTAATGTATGAAAAACATTTACTATTCATCCCAAATTATACATCCAATTAAAAAACATTGATGAGAGAATAGGAAATCATAAGTTTATTCAATCTCGACAAAATTTATAAGATTTTTATAAAAATAGACGAGTTTATATTGAAGGATTAGATGTTGATTGATTCTTTCTGTTGAAAATGATAGATAGATATTTATAGTTTATATGCTGTGTGTTATATATATACACACAACAATCAATTTTGTCTTCTAAGTTTGTTCGATGATATTTTATTTCTATAAGTAGACAATATCCGAATGTACTTTTCCGATTTTTTATACAAGTTGTGAATCTAAATTGGGACGTAAAATTAATGAAGTATGAAATTTAGAAAGTAAAATTGTTGCATTGGTAAGATTATGTTCCAATGTTTAAGATAAAATGTTAAGTTGCTCCAATGCTTAAATCTGCAATTATTTTGTTTTTGATATATATATATATATGTATATTACTCTATAGCATGTTTAGAATTGGAAAAATCATATAGAGTGTTTATTCATTAATCTATTCTATTGCAAATTTGATTAGATATTTGATGCATTTTACCAATTATTTTCGTCTTTTCCCACCTTTGAATTGAATAAAATTTGTATGGTTCACTTGATGTGGTTTTTGCCATTTAAATTCATTTAGGGCCTTAAAAATTGCGTATTTCTATTTTTAGGGATTTTTTCTTTTTTAAGTTTTGCAAATTTTCTTCCTTTTTTTAATTAATCATAAAATTCCGTCCAATATTTGATCAGAAAATTTTCTTTTGTTCGATTATCTCAATTCTTACAATTGACATCATTATTTCATATCAATACATTTGCTAACAAAACAACTAACATGACAATATACCCTAATTTTCAGATGGTATGTGGATAGTATCCCGATAAGAGTGTTCAAGAACTATAAAAGCGAGGGTATTCCATACCCAAGCAAACAGGCGATGAAAGTGTACGCGAGCATTTGGAATGCGGATAGCTGGGCAACAAGAGGTGGTCTCGACAAACTTGATTGGAATAAAGCACCCTTTGTAGCTAAATTGCGCCATTTCAGGCCGAGGGCTTGCATGTACAATGGACGCGATAACATTAGGACATGTAGAAATGTCGAAAACAGTCAGCTAAGCAAAGTAGAACGGCGTAAGATGGATAAAATACGAGACAAGTATTTGGTTTATGATTATTGCACAGATTTTGAACGATACAAAGGATTGATGCCCGGCGAATGTCTTAAGCCGCAATATTAAAGAGAAAATCGACGGGGGAGAGAATGATTAATTAGCTTAGCTTAGGCTTGGAGTAGGATTTGTAAACGTGTTATATGTGATGTTATTTATTCGATTCATTCATTCTTTAAACATATATGAAAGTTGGGGTTCAAATTCTAGAATTTATGAAAAAATATTTTTAGAATTAATATATACGTAAATAAATAAAAATTGAATAAATATTTGAATTACCTATAGAATATTCTTTCTAGAGAAAAAATAAATAAAATGGGTTGGAAAATAATTAAAATTTAGATAAAAGATATAAAGAAAGATAACTATAGTTAATGAATGACCATATCAAATAGACTCATTATTTTATCTTTAAAGATCTTCTCTTGGAAAATTGGTTTGTTTCAAGTGTTCTCTCTATCTTTTTGTTCTTCATAACCTTTTTGTTCAAAAAGAAATTTTCAACCAAAGAAAGAAATATTTTTTTCAACCAAAGAAGAAAATCAATATATATGAACATACTTACTTTCAGTAATATTAGACAACTTGTTTGTCAGTATTTCAACTGTGATTTGCTCGTTAGTTGCTCGTGGATAGATGTCTAAAACGGGGCCGTAGGAGAGGATAGAATTAGCCGTCAATGTTTGTTGAGTCTTAGAATCCGTTGTATACCTAGCGATATATTTATTGAACCTCTCCTTAACTGAAATCCCCAATATGCAGATCCATATACGTAATTAGATCATCAAATCTTGTGTGCTGTTTTGTTTGTGTTTGAATTTAGCTAACTATAGATAAGTTTTATTTACACACAAACGTTAGAACTATGGAACAATCACGTATATTTTAGAAGTGCAAATCTCTTATAGTTTTCTTGGCCCTGTACTGTCTATGAGGTGTTGGCCTTCGGAAACCATTTTCTAACATATATATTATAGTACAAGCTCATATCAAATAGGGAATGCAACTTATATGCTCTTATAATTTCAACTATACATTGTGTACAGTGTAATTATGTTACTCCCTCCGTCCCACATACCATGTCCACGTTATCGTTTCTGTCCGTCTCACATGCCATGTCACTTTTCTTTTTTGGAAAATAATTACACACTTTAATCTCATTTTAAAATTTTTAATTTTATTTTTTTAAATTTTAATTAAACTAATTAGTTATCTTAATCTTAATTTATAATTATTTATATTATCGGATAATTATTTACACCCCTCCTAAAATACCGTATCTACGGTGTAGCAAACACGGTATGTGGGACGGGGGGGAGTATTTTATTATGCCTAATCAATATAGTCTGATTAATACTAATCAATCCTCTAATTCTCTCCACCAAATAATGATAATAATAATAACAATAATAATAAATTCCAAATAATACAAACTGAAAAAAAAAAAAAAAAAAAACCAACCAATCAGAATCCTAATGATTTTATGTGGAAATACATTTTTTTTTAAATTTATATTAACATTACAGAATAAAATATTATATGCATCTATATGTACATGGGATAAAATTGCAAAAAATATCATATATATATATATATTTCATTATCACTTTGTATTTATTTCGCATGTTTGCAAAAATTGTTATTTTTGTCATTGAGCCACACGTGATGTGACGTTCACACTACGCGCGGTCACGCATGATCGTGTGACCAAATGATATAAATAGCAAGATAAATATATAATATATGTGAAATATATTTTTTCAACCAGATAAATATAGGACAAACGTGATAATAAAGTATATATAAGAATTTTTTTTTTTTGCAATTTTCCGATATCTATATGAATGAAAATATATAATATTTCATTGTGAACGTTTTAGTGGCAAAATAGCATTACTGTATCTTTTCCATTGAATCGAGGAATTGGCAGATAAGATCCATTTTCTGCGGGACTGTTTTATTTTATTTTATTTTTTATTTTTTATTTTTTCAGATATGGTTGGAACCATGTGTTAAAACATTTCTTCAACTTCAATAACTTAAAATTTCCTCAGAAAAAGTCGATATTTTATTGAACTACTACACTACTAATACAAAATTATTCAAGTTGAGATATTCAAAGAACACCTGTTTCACTACAAATTTAACTTATCTCCATCTAGTTCTTAAACAAAGTTATATTAAATATTACATATCATCATTTCCAAAGCCATTGAAGCAATTTTTTTTAAGCAATTCTTTGGATTATCTAAGTAAGGTGTTACTCATCGGTCAATTGCATATATACATAAAAGATAGCTTCAACACACTTCTAGCAAACTACAAACCCTCTTCGGATATCATTCTGATTTGATCCGATCAGCACCCAAAAATAATGACCAATTTTCAGTACTTGAAGTCAGCATTTTTGGTCGTATTTTTGGCATTTAACTCGAGCTTTATCGTAGCCAATTTTCTAACGAACGCGTGCAAAGAGTGGGGAGTCGAGCATTCGGTGTTTCAAGGTAACGGCGACTATGCGAAACTCACCCTTGATCCAATCTCAGGTATGTAAATACATGTTTTGAGATCAAAGTTTACATAAAAATTTGTTCTCTACTTCACTAATAGGATTTATAATTGTGTTATATTTTTTATGTTATTTAAGCCATATATTCATTCTTTAAAAAAATAATAATGAACATGAAGTTTTGAATTGTAGAAAAATTTGAAGCATATTGAACACACATGGAATTTGGATGAACTCTCTCTACAACATTTTATTTTATTTTATTTTGGTTTAATTGAAGTGTTCTATAAAAGTTTTTTTTTTTTTTTGGCGCAAAAAATGTATCAAGTTGGTGTCCATTTTAATATATTGAAGCTATTTTCCGCGACATAAATTTAATTGGCAACAAAATCCGTACTAATATACTAAAATTAGCACTAATTTGAAAATTCCGAAGCCATTATATATTTATTTTTTTAAAAAAATAAAATTAACAATTTCTTCGAAAATTCCAAAGTCATTTCAAACCCATTGTTTCCGGTTGGCTTGTGAGTTTAATGGATATGGCCTCGGAAATTCTGAAGCTTTTGGAAATGATCTCGGAAAGTCCAAAGCAACATAAATTGCAACGAGCCTCGGAACTCTTTTAAATTCCGAAGCAATTTTTCTAAGGCTATATAATTAATCAAACATGGTAGTGTAGAGTAACAATATGCAAGTTGTTCTCTACTTCTAAGGCAAATTCAATTTAGCAATTCCAATCGATGGTGTCACATAAAGAAATTCTTATGCTGGATTGCTAAAATATCGACATTGAATAGATTACTTATGAGACCAATTTAAATTTCAATACTTTAAATTAAGAAATGACATAATTGATAATAGGCTTCATAGATGGCATTAAAATGTAAGAATTTTTTTCTAAAATCCTCTCATACTATTGATCATCTTGTTACAGGTTCAGGAATTCAGTCTACCGAATATTTTTTATACGGAAGTATCGAAATGCATATCAAATTGATACCGGGAAGCTCAGCTGGAACAGTTACAGCATATTATGTATGTGTAGTAAATCATGATCATAAAGGGATTCCTTATTATTCGATTTTTTTCTTTTCATTTCTAATTTCAATTATATCTATAGTTTTGACTAACAAAAAATGGCTGATTAATTACTATGATCATTGCTAGCTATCTTCCCGTGGAGAAAAGCACGATGAGATAGACTTCGAGTTTCTTGGAAATGTGTCCGGACAACCTTACATTATCCATACGAACATTTTTACTGATGGGGCCGGAGGTAGAGAACAACAATTTTACCCATGGTTCAACCCAACACGTGATTTCCACAACTACACGATTCATTGGAATCCATCTCAAGTTGTGTAAGTGAAACTCGATTCTATGTAACGAATTCCTTATAGTAAACGTAGATAACTTATAAAATATTGTAACTTTTTTTTTTTCCGATAGGTCTTTAAAAATGGAATAAATATTTTACTGCGTATAAAACATTAGATTTTCTTCCCACAATATAGATCCAATTAACTATAATTGATGAGTACATAAGTGAGTCAATGTCTAGTCTACATTAAAATGAACATGAAATTCAATAAATTCTTATAAAAATACATACATTAAGAAATGAATTTAGGAATCAACGTTAATAGTCTCTTGTTTACAAAGATTGATTGGTTTGGTTTATTTTGTATTTTGGTTCGAAGAGATAAAATATTATGTGAGATATAAAAAATGTGCGTGTAATATTAAAATAATAAGTATATGTAATATATTAATTTTTTTGGAAAAATGTATTAAACTTTTTTTTAAAAAAAAAAAAAAACCCACCCCAATTGTTTTGCTCTAGTTAAAGGGTAATTTGCTTACTATATAAATGACGGACTCTTGGAAGAGCAATATGAGCAAGTGCTCCCTTATTGCAAGAGAACCCATAATTTTAGAATTGAGTCCATTATTATTAAATATATTAAATTTTATATTTTAGTTATTTTTTTCTATAGTTATTCAATTTAAATTTAATTTTAAAATTAAATCTTATCAATCTTTTATCTCTCGTGATCGCCACTGCCTATTAAAATTCAACTTAAATATTATTTTTATTTGTTTTTATTTGTACAATGATTTTACAATGAAAGATATATTTAGAGTTCATAGTTATTATTATTAGTGTTGTTCTTGTTGTTATTATCATTATACTATTAGTTTTACAATAATCAAGATATTATTTATTTTTGATTGATGATACATTTTGTGCTTATGTCCTTTTAGTGTATATATATGATTAAAATAATTTATATTTTTGTAGACTTTATTATTATATTTATCGTTAATATTATTTTAAAAATATATTTAATAATATATTTATGGGGTCTATAATTTATTTTTTTGCTCAATGCCTGAAAAAATTCCGAGACGGCCTGACTATATTTGATCATTTTTCAATTTTATTTTTTTAATATGCTTCTACAACTTTTTGGTCTTATAAGTTGTGATAGGTTGTAGGGTGTGTTCGCTTAATTTTTTTAATTTTTTTTTCCCATTTTTTCAGTATTTAATCATATCAAGTTTTTGTGAAAATAAATTATTTCTCTCATAAAACAATTTATCCAAATTGTTATTGAAGTAAAAAATTAGAGTCATAATTGCCAATAATAATAATAATAAAACATTTATGTTTTCTATCCGCTCGTGGAACAATCGTCGTGTGAACATGACGCACAGTCGGAGGATAAAACTGACAATTTTTGCAAACATGTAAAATATATTTTTCCAGCGAAATAAATAAAGGATAAAAAATGATATTTTTTTAAGTTTTCCCACTATAATATTGTTACAAATTTGATTAAATCATTCCATATAAATACATGTACATATAAGCACTATTAATCCAGCTATAAACCTTAAATTTCAGGTGGTACGTCGACAATATTCCGATAAGAGTGTTCAAGAACTATAAAAGCGAGGGCATTCCATACCCGAGCAAACAGGCAATGAAAGTCTACTCGAGCATTTGGAATGCGGATAGCTGGGCAACAAGAGGTGGCCTCGACAAAATTGATTGGAATAAAGCACCATTCATAGCTGAACTGCGCCATTTCAGCCCGAGGGCGTGCATTTACAATGGTAGTGATAGCTTCACAACATGTAGAAATTTCGAACACATACAACTAAACAAAGAAGAACGGCGCAAGATGAATTATATCCGAGAAAAGTATATGGTTTATGATTATTGTGCGGATTTTGGAAAGTACAAAGGATTGATGCCCGGCGAATGTCTTAAGCTGCAATGTTGATGAGAAAATCGGCGAGGGAGATGATCGATCTTTAAGTTTAGTCTTGGGGTCAGATTTGTAATTGCAAAATAGTCCGTGTTGTTTGTATGATTTATTCATTCTTTAAAAAAAAAAAAAACAAAAACAAAAACAAAAGCAACGATAGTTAATTTTGATTCTATTATATTTTTTATGTAAAGGATGCAAATGATTCGATGTTTTGGGCAATAATTTAACAATTTTCAATTAATTGCAATTTGTTTGTACCATTTTTCTTCGATCGATTTATTTTAAAAAAAAATTTTAAATCATTGTATACCAACATAGATTTACATCGAGTCATCCGAAAATCTACCGATTCTCCTCAACAAGGAATTTAAGGCTGAAAAACAATTTTTCAAGCCAACAATAACAATAAAAACCAATTATCCAATAGAAATTAGGTAATTAAGGGGTGTTTCTTTTGAAGAGATTTGAAAAAATTGAGTTTGGGTTTAGAATTATTTGAATTTTAAGATGAATTTAAAATTTGGTGTTCTTTTTTGTTTATAGATTTGGTTTGAGTTTGAAGATTTTGATGTACATTGATTTGATAAGTTAAAAATAGTAATAATATAAATGTGTATTAAATTAAATTATAAAATTAATAATAGTGTAATTTGAATATTAAGTTGCGTTAATTATAAATAAATATTTATATTTTATTTATTTATATTATGTTATATTCTCTCCGTCCTAAAACAATAGTCTCATTTTTATAAATAACTATATCACTATAAAATTATCTCCTCTTTTTCATTATTATTACACTATTATCACTACTTTTTTACACTAATATACTCACAAAAAGTCATTTATCCATACTTTTTACCAACCACTAATATAATATTAATATTCCTTAAATTTTGTGTCCAACACCAATAAGACAGTACTTTTGGGACAAAGGGAGTATAAAATTTTATTCTTAAAAAAGTTACATATATATTATATATTTTATTAAATTATTATTATTAAAATAATCAAAAAATTATTCTACTATAATTTTGCATGGCCATGCAAATATGGCCTTATATTGTATTTTTTATTTTTTTCTAAAGGAAAAAAGTCAATATGTCAACTACCTATACTCTAAACTGCACAAATTGTCATCTTCATATTAGACTAGCGCCCAAACTATTGTGCAGAATAACCGCACTGTTGTTTCGGCCAAATCTGTCCTAAAGAAGCATACCTAAATTTCTGCCCCATGTTGTTTTTTCATTTGATTACTATAATTTTGCACGGCCGTGCAAATGTTGTCTTATATTGTATTTTCATTTTTTAAGGAAAAATAGTCAATATGTCAGCTATCTGTACTATAAACTGCACAAATTGTCATCTTCACAATAGATTCATGCCCAAACTATTGTTCAGAATAACCGCACGGTTGTTTCTGCCAAATCTATCCAAAAGAAGCATACCTAAACTTCCGCCCCATGTTTTTTCATTTGATTACTATAATTTTGGACGGCCGTGCAAATGTTGTCTTATATTGTATTTTTATGTTTTTTAAGGGAAAAAGTCAATATGTCAGTTACCTATACTTTAAACCGCACAAATTGTCATCTTCACAATAGATTCACGCCCAAACTATTGTTCATAATAACCGGACGGTTGTTTCGGCCAAATCTGTCCAAAAGTAGCATACCTAAACTTCCGCCCCATGTTTACTATAATTTTGGACGGCCGTGCAAATATTGTCTTATATTATATTTTTTTTTAAGGGAAAAAAAGTCAATATGTCAGTTGCATATACTCTAAACTGCACAAATTGTCATCTTCATATTAGACTAGCGCCCAAACTATTGTGCAGAATAATCGCACAGTTGTTTCGGGCCAAATCTGTCCAAAAGAAGTATACCTAAACTTCTGCCCATATTTTGTCATTTGATTACTATAATTTTGGACGGCCGTGCAAATATTGTCTTATATTGTATTTTTTTCTTTAAGGGAAAAAAGTCAATATGTCAGCTACTTATACTCTAAACTTCACAATTTGTCATCTTCACATTAGACTCAGCGCCCAAATTAATGTGCAGAATAACTGCACGGTTGTCTCGGCCAAATCTGGCCAAAAGAAGCACATCTAAACTTATGCCCCATGTTGTTTCTTCATTTGATTATTCTACTGTAATTTTACACGACCACACAAATGTAATCTTATATTGTATTTTAATTTTTTCAAAGAAAAAAATTCAATATGTCAGTTACCTATATTCTAAACTGCAGAAATTGTCGTCTTCACGTTAGACTCGCACCCAAACTATTATGTAGAATAAGGGCACGGTCGTTTCGCCAAATCTGGCCTAAAAAAGCACACCCTAAACTTCTACCAAATGTTGTTTTTTCTTTTGGTTATTTCGATATTCTATATAAAACAAGTGCAATATATCAAGACTTCTTTTAATGAAAGCTATATTGTTAGTTTATCAATAAATGACAAATGTAAATCAAATTAAGGGAATGAATAGGATACTGAAATTATATTGTCAGCACACGTACCGTAAGAGTAAAAAATAATTATTATAATTTATATAATTATATAATATAATTACTATGATGATATAAACTTAAGTTTAAAATTAATGTACAAAAGCTTCATTTCTAAATCCCAAAAATATACAAATTAATCCTCAAATTAAATCCTCAAGTTAATTATAAATATACTCCTTCGGTTCGGATAGATTATGCCACTTTTTTTTTGTCACAATTATTAAAAAATATTATACTAAAAAATTTAATTATATTTAATTTAATTGATACGATAATTGCAATAGAGTGAAATATATTTATTTATTTAATATTTTGTGAATAAAATAGTATTTGATTTAAATATATATTTAAATCATGTGTTTGGTTGGATTTGTCCAAAAAACTTTACTATTCATAATTTTTGTTATCTTAAAAATATAAAATAAAACTCTCATTTTTTTTTATATTATATTAAAAAATAATTTCACATAAATATTTAAATTAAAAAAATTTAATATTCAAGACTTTAAACTCTCTAACAAATACATCGTTAGAATTTATTCAAATAATTTTTTCTTCTAAAATTATTAAATTAAATTTTTATTTTTGTAATTTATATCACTATATATAAATAAATTTTCAAATTATCACATTAATATCTATTCATGATAATTATTCAAATAATAATAATAAAAAGAATTACTATCAATATTCAAACTCAAAGTTCAAACCTCAACCCAAATGTATTGTTAAGTTTATTTGCAATTTTTTTTTTTCAAAAAAATATCAAATTAAACTCTTATTTTTTATTTTTTATATTATATTAACAATCAATTTCATATTCAAAATATTATATTAATAACTATTTATATAACATAAAAAATTATTTAAATTAAAAAATCTTAAATCAAATACAGAGTTAAATTTATTAATTATAAAATATTTTTTTTAAAAATACTGAAATTAAAATTATTTTTATTTTTAAAATTTTCAGCTACTTCCACTTTAGGTTCGATTTTTTTATATCAATACCAGAGTCGAGTTTTTGAAATTTAGAATCATATTTTCTTTTGTCAATTATGATTCAACATAAGCAAATATAAAATTTTTAAATAATTGTGATTAAAAAATAAAATAAAATATTTTAAATTAGTTAAAAAAAATTAATTTGTATTTAAACTTTATTAGTAATTTTTAGAGAGGATTATTATTATTATAATAATATATTTACAATTTTGCCCTAACAATACATTACCTATCCACAACCGCAGCCGCAGCCCGCACCAGAGTTTCTTCCTGCATCTTCTTCTTCCCCATTTCTTTCCTTTCCTCCTTCTTCTTCTTCTTCTTTATCCCACCGCTATGTCGTCGTCATTAAATTTCAACCCCTTCAACGATAACTGGTTCAGGAACCCTCCGAAATTACCTTTCTCATTCCCACCCATTAACCTCAGCTCCCCAAGCGCGCTCCGCTTCGCTTCCATATCCAACCCTTTTTCGAAGAAAACCAAGCCGGCCCCCGAAAAAAAGCAGCCTGGAAAGCACCGCCGAATGCTCGATCAGTTTTACTGGGAGTGCGAAAACTTGCCGGATTATCGACATACCCCTGAGGTTGAGAGGATTTTGCAGGAAGACCCAATTTTCGAAAAGAAGGAAAACCCAACTCCGGAAGAGATCGAGGAGAATGAGAGATGGTGGAATGAATTTAGGGCTAGTCCTGTTGTGCAGTTCTTGACCCGAGCTCAGGAGATTAGGGATAAGCTTAATGAGTTTGAGCTTCAGGAGAATTCTGTTCCCTGGAGGAGAGAAGATAAGAAATTGTGGCAGGCACGTCTAGGCTAATTCTAATTCTGATTTATTGATTCATTCATTCTCTTTCACTTTCACTTTGCATAATGATCTGAATTTTCCATCATCTGTTGATCATAGGCTTGAATTATACTAAATTCCATAATTGGTGTGTTTACTTGTGAGGTTTTGGATTTTGATTTTTATTTTGAATTGAAATAGTCGTTTGATGTGATATAAATATGCATTGATGTGATCTTTTGAATTATAAATTAGATTTTAGTGTAATAAAATAAATAAAAAATGGGATTTGATGATTTTGGAGGGAAAAGAAAGTCTAAATAGTAAAATGATAGAGTAAGATCTTGCAAGTAAACCGAGCCAATTTGTTTAATTAATTAATTAGTTGTTGTTGATTATGATTGTAAAGGCGGTGCCTAATGTGATGGGGCTCGACGGGCGGCCAATGCCGAGGAAAGCAATAAAGACTAAGCAGGAGTCTGATGATAAATTTTGGGATTTCGCCAGACAGTTCTTTTTTGGGCTATGGGGGTTCAGGCAACGTCCTTACCCCCCTGGTAGACCTATTGATGTTGCTCAGGCTATCGGTTATAAGAAACTTGAACGCCGGTATTACGACTGTAAGTTTGTTCATAGTCCCCCAAAGAAATTGACAACTAACTTTTCAGTTCATAGTCCATATTGTTTAATTGATTTCGTCTGGCATTCAGGTTAGGTTTCTGCTTTATAACTACCATTGTTAAGCTTGAAAGAAGTTGTGGAGGTGCACGCGAATTGCTAAATTGAGTTTACACTTATGCATGCATTGAGGTGGAAATTATACTTGATCAAACTTAAAAGTTAAAAACACATACTACCTCCGTCCGGCTTTAGGGTCCCATTTACTTTTTGCATGTTGAGATTTGAATATTAATTATTATATCAAAACATAGTACAAATTAAAAAAAAAAATTACAAAAACACTTCAATTAGTGTCTTATAATAACGCAAAAGGTAAATGTGATCCCGAGAGGCGGAGCCTCCATCCCTTCAAAATGTATCCAAATACTTTTCACGGAGTTTTATGTATATTAGTATTATATTGATACATAGTAGGAATAAAGTTAAAAGGACAAAAATTAACTTTATTAGTGTTGTATAATATAAAGGTAATAACATTTGTGTAATATATTGTAAGTTGTAAGGATATTTTTAATATTAGGTAAGTAGTACATTTACTAAAAAGAGTAATGAGTACTTTGTTATGCGGACCAAAATGGAAAAATGGATAGTTTGTTAAGGGACAGAGGGAGTATTTAGTAGTTGAATGCATCCGACTTGCAAGATTTAAGTGATGTTTAGTTAGTATTATCATTTTTTCTAATTTCATTTACTTTTTTTTGTGCCTCTCTCTTCTTGAGGGGATTTTGTCTACTATTGAAGTAATTGGTTTTTTATAATTAATTCCTATTTTACCATCTGCTACCTCTCTATGCCTAGTTATCATGAAAAGTGGTGGATTTTTTTATAAGGATCGATTGGGTCGAACAAGAGGACCAATGGAACTAATACAGCTGAAAACTGCTTGGGGTGGTGGGATAATTGACAAAGATACCTTTGTATGGGGCGAGGACATGGATGAATGGGCACCTATTCACATGATCTATGGTATGGAGCGTGCAATTGCTACTTGGGAAGGTTAGTAATAGATCCTTGCTGAATTCTGTTTAATATCCGATTTAGGAATGACGATCTTTATGCTTGACATGGATTGACATTTGTGGCTGTACTAGTTTTAGGAAATGGTGAAACTAGCTACCTACCTACCTACCTACGGAACTATGGACTTATAATGTGTGCATGTGTAGCGATTATAATTTAGGTTATGTTTCAAGGTTTTACATATCGGGTGTGTTCTACTATTCATCAAAATTTTTTTCTCCAACAATATTAAATTTAACATCTATTTTTCATTTTTATGTTATAGTATAAATCAATTTTATATTCAAAACATCACATCAATACCTATTTATATCACATCATACAACTATTTATGCTCAAGATTAATTAATCTAACCTAATCACTTGAAAGGCATATGTTTTTTATGCTTGGTAGGAAGTAGTAGTCTCTTGAGGATTATAACTAATCCGCAATTTATAGTTGGGCTGCATGCACTATGGCTTTTTCCGTGGTAGATGCCTTTTAGTTATTAAAAGTCATTTCTGATAGGTTGCGATTATCATGGTTTTTAGTTAGATTCGGTGCTGCTGCCACAATGTTCCTTCATAAGCTGCAGAAAGGAATACCACCTTGGGTTCCTCTCAAGGGGCGTGAGGATAAAACATACAAGCAGCTACAAGAAGAAGCATATGAAAGCAAAAGACGCGATTTAGCCGTGCTAAGGGCTAATGATGGTGTTTGGCCTGGTATGAGGACTCCTAGCCATGCATTATTTCTTTGGGCCGGTGGCTCTGAGCTGACGACGCTTCTAGAAGAGGACCATATGCCCAACAAATATATTCCGAAAGATCTTAGGTAATATCTCGTGTCGTTCTTTAATGCATCTTATTGGGTCATTGAATAAATATATAGGTAAATTATATATCCCCTTGTGTTTTAGGAAAAATGCACAAAATATCTAGTGTTTTATTTATTGCGTGAAATCTCTTTGTGTTAATTTAAAGTTTGCAGTAAACATTTTTTTCGTCCAAAGCTGATATTTGAGTGTAAATACAAACCTAATTATGCAAATTTTATACTCAATAAAAGAGGTAAAATATTTTAAATAGTTTTTTTTTTTTGTATAAAATAAAATAAATAAATAAATAATAGATCAATCTTTTTACTTTTAGAGTTTTTTTAAAAATCATATAATCTATCTAAAAGAAATTATACAATGAATGATTAATCAATTATTTTTATTTTTTTTATTCATAAATGACTACTTAATATATTTGCCGTATTTTATTGGTATAAAACTTGCATAATTAGATTCGTATTTATACTCAAATATCAGCTTTGGACGAAAAGAGTATTTTATGCAAACTTTAATTTAATATAAGGAAGTTTCACGCAATGAATAGAACACAAAGTGTTTTGTGCATTTTTTCTAAAACACAAAGAGATGTTATATAATTTACCTAAATGTATTTGATGTATTGTTTATCCAGCTGTATCTTTTCCTTTATGAATTTTGAAGTGCATCTGTGAATGATCTCGACCCCATTCTGCCCTCGCAAAAAAATAGATAGTTTAAGATAGTCGATAAAATAATATATTGCAGGCGCCAATTGCAAGAGATTATTCCTGGGCTGAGGCCATGGGAGGTTCTCAGTGTTGAACAAGCCATGGATCAGATAACATATGGAGGCGAGTGGTATCGTGAGCCTCTTGGCTCGTACACAACCGGTCCGCCTTACATAAATGAATGGAACAAAGACTTTCTGGTATGAATGAATATCTGATATCATATAATTAATTCTTGATGAAGGAAAAGAGGGAAAGAATGTATATATGCTTTCTTGAATAGTTCTCATGACGTGCTTTGTTTTTGTCCGGGCAGAGGCTATTTGACATCTTCCAGAAACTGACTGTTCTAACTCACAAGAAACTGGAGAGAACAATCCCGGGGTTCAACAAGATTTTGGAGAAAGCCCAAGAAGATGCTGCTAAAAGGCGGGCCAAGAGGAAAGCGGAGAGGGCTGCAAGAAAGAAGAAGATGGATGATGGTGATCAGAGTGATTATAGCTAAGCAAGCAAGCAAGCATTAGCTTTTGCAAGGAGTGGAGGATTGCATCGGATTTGCTGGTGAGTGATAGATCCATAATTTATTTTACATTCAAAACATTACCTTGAAAACCTGTTTCAATTCGTATTTACTATTCCCACCACATCCAAAACCCACATGGTTGGAAATTTTCTTTCGATTCTTATTTAGTTGCTAGCTAATGTTAGTTGAATTATGAGTTTCGACTCTCAAGTCTTGCCTTTCGATGTGCAGGTGACAAATGTTTGATTTAGTTTTCGATTGTCTTTATAGCTATGCAGTGGAACTCTTTACTAGTCATGGTTATTTTGACACAACTTGAAATCTTGTGTAGTTATGAGTAATTTATCTGAATTTCTTGTTTACATTTATAGTTTTGAGTTATATTACTTACTGCAGCAGCTGTGGAACCTAAGCTAAGCTAAGCTATATATTAATATGCCTAATGTATAGGTTACCCTTCATTATTTATGTTATTGGAAGGATGGATTTGCAGATAAATTGTTGCTTCCTTTCATTAATGGCAAGCAGTAGTATTACACAGTAAGTAATGAATCAAGGAAGTGATGATATGATGTTCTATGTAAATGAACTAGATTTAGACTAGGATCCAATTTGGTGATGAGATGCTTCAACACCTGATTCAGTCTTAATTTTGTGGCCTCAAAACTAGGGGTGGGCACGGTTCGCGTATTTGCAAATATACAGTTATTTGTTATCTGAATTGAATCGAACAAATATCCGAAATCGCGATAGGTATTTGAATCGAAAATTTCGGTTAATCGAAAATATTTGCAAATAATCTGAACTGAACCGAAATTAAAAAAACAATATATTAAAAAATAATTAAAATTCTAATTAAATCAAATTTTTTGCAAATATTTCAAATATTCGATATGAAACTAAACTGTAATCGAACCGAATATAATTATTAATATAAATTTTAAATATAATAATATAAATATATTCGTTTCGGTTAACCGAACCGAAAAAAAATATATATATAAAAAACAGAAATCGAACCGAATAAATATCAAATAAACAGTATTTGTATTCGAATCGAATTTGTTTGGTTAATCAAAAATTCGGTTCGATTTAGTTTGGTGCAGCGGTTTGACAGTTCGATTCGATTTTTTTGTCCACCCATGCTCAAAAGAAGTTGGGTTGTTGGGTTGCTGAATTTTGTTTAATATCCAATTAAGGAATGAGGCTTAACATTTGTGGCTGTAATAGCTGAGGGGAGTTGAGGTTCTTCCGTTCCAATTCAAATTCAAAGTATATTTTTATTATTTTTACAATTTTATCTGTTCAACTTCAAAATATTTTATATTTACTTTAGAAAAAATAATTATACATTAGTATTAAAATATTTTTAATTTTTATTTAAATTGTAAACATATTATTACATATACAATTATTTTATACATAAAGTCAAAGATAAAAATATTTAAAAAATTTACATTTTTACTAATTAATAAAATACTACTACCTCCGTCTGGCTTCAAGGGACCTGTTTATTTTTTGCGTATTGATTTTTAAATATTAATTATGATATTTTTAATATTAAGTATAATAAGGTAAAAATAAATGTAACATTTAGAGCAAGGCGGAAGGAGTATTATATTTTAATTATATCTTAATTAACTACAAAAACTCCAAATGGCTAGATGGAGTATTTATTAAGAAAATGAGAATGAAAGATAAAATAAAATCCATTCAAGATATGGTAATGTCATCGTATCCATTATTTATAATAATATTTAGATTTTCTCAATCAATTCAATGAACAACCATGAATCTATTAAGTAATAAAATATTATTTGTTTGTCTGGTAAGAAATGACTGTAGGGATGAATTCATGATAGTAAGATTATCTCCGGATTTTGTCTGTCAACATGGTTTTTAAGTTATTAAAAAAAAAAATTAATTACAAAAAATGACTTTTTTTTTTTATAGCGTGAGAATTGAGTTGGTCGGAACTCCATCTCGTGTGGATTCCCCGATGAACTCAAGTAACTCTACAGTTTTGCCTTGTGTCTAATTTATCGAACAATTGAAAATCAAACAAAATGGAATGATTATACAAAAGGATGGAATAATAAGCTGCAAAATATTGAAAACAAAAAGTTGTAACAGAGTAATGATTATCGACACTACAAAAAAATAATATATTTGTAACGGAATTACGTCCCTAAAGTTCACGTAGCTAACGTAATTTCATTCCTAATTCCGTTTCTAATGTCATTAGTAACGGAAAAAGTAAATTTAGAGAAAAAAACGTTTTGTTACAAAAATGATTTTTTCTTGTAGTGCGATCGATCGAAGAAAAAATTAAATATTGTAAGAGTGATTTGCAAAAAAAAAAGCTAGATTAAATATATTATCCATCGATTGATTGATAGAAGAATATGAAGCTTTATGTATACACATATTAATATTTTTATTTTTATTTTTTTATGACTACACATTAATATATTTATTTAGAGAGAAGTAGAAATGAGACATTACAAATGGATCATATTTTTCGAAAAATTTTGAAGAAATTAAGGGTGTGTTTGTTTGGGGGGTTTGGATTTTGAGTTGGGATTTGAATAGTAAAAATTTTGAATTTAAATAGTTGTATTATGTGATATAAATAGGTATTGATGTGATGTTTTGAATGTAAAATTGATTTTTAGTATAATATAAAAATAAAAAATAGGTGTTTGATTTGATTTTTTTTTGGGAAAAAAAAATAGGATGAATAATTGATTTAAAATCCAATACCCAAACAAACACACAAATAACTGAGATAGAAAAAGTTGTAACACATACTATCATCTCTTACTTAAACTTGCAAAACAATTTTAATATACTAAATCAAATACTCTCTCTGTCCGTCTCTAACGGTCATATCTTATATTTTGCGTTATTGTACTTAGCATTAAAAATATTCTTATATTTGTATAATTTTTTATACAAATATCTTTCTATTAGTATTATAAGACACTAATAGAAGTATTTTTGCAATTTTTTCTTAATTTATACTATCGTTTTGATATAATAATTAATATTTAAATATCAACACGCAAAAAGTAAACGAGACTCTTAGAGCCGGACGGAGGTAGTATATATATATATATATATGCCTCCAGGTGCACCTGCCACACATGGTTCGCTTAGAGTGACTGGCCTTGTCGAACTTAGTTTGCAGGATATTAGATTTGGCCGAGGATTTACCCAGTAAGCACTTCGGATAGCAGCAGTTGCAGATTCCAACGTTATAAAAATATATATATATATGTTTGTACTTAAATAAAATGTTGAAAAGGCCATTGTTGAATCAAACATGTGTGGAAAAAGTAGCTTTCGAAATCATATAGGAAGAAAAACAAGAAAACCCTAATTAACAACCACTGCTATTTGATTATATGTATATTGTTGGATATATGATCATCACAGGCTTGCTATAAATACACACTACATTATCCTAACACTGCATAAAATATATCGATTTTCTTCGAAATATTACTAATTTAAAATATATTATCGAAAGATCGATAGATCGATCGATTGAAGAATATATATATATATATATATAATGGCTGGATTGCCCTGCAAACTTGTGGCTCAAGTGGCGTTCAAAGCTGGGGGTGATGTATTCCATTATTTGATGGCAAAGAGACCTCAGCATTTGGCAAATGTGACTCCTGGGAAGATCCAAAGCTGTGATGTGCTTCAGGGAAGTTATGGAACTGATGGATCTGTCATTCAGTGGAAGTATACCCTTGGTACGTGTTGAATTGTTGACTTTTTATAAGTAGATAATATTTACTCCTTCCGTCCGTCTCTAAGGGTCATATTTATTTTTTTGCGTCATTGTACTTAGTATTAAAATATCGTTATATTTGTATAATTTTTTATACAAATATCTTTCTATTAGTATTATAAGATACTAATTGAAGTATTTTTGCAAAATTTTCTTAATTTTTACTACATTTTGATATAATAATTAATATCTAAAAATTAACTTACAAAAAGTAAATGAACCCTTAGAGCCGGACGGATGTAGTATATTATATTAATGTGTGTATATATATATTTGTATTTTTTTAATGATCTTTTTGGAGAATTATTTTATTGAATAATATTGAGTGAACAGACTGATTATATATATATATATATGATGGTATAGTTAGACTATGCTTTTTTTATTATTATTTTGGGTCTTTTTCAGTTTCTTGTTGTATATAATATTACGACTCTTTATAAAAAAATATATTCCCTTTTTCATTTAAAAGATATATATTGTATTATTTTTACTTTATCTAAACACAAAGTATTACATGTACAATTTAGAAATATTTTATACGAGTATTATTTATCTACAGAAAATTTTTCAACAATATCACATTAAATATATTTTTTTTTATAAAATATTACATTAAATACTGATATTTATTATTATTATTATTATTATTATTATTTTCAAAACTATAAGACTTTATGTCTAAAGGAATATTATTATTTTTAGTAAATATGACCCTATTGTATATTATAAATATTTTAAATTTATTCATATCAATATTATTGTATCAAAGGGCAAAACAATTCTTTATACACAAAATATCTACCAATTATCATTTTAAAATTGCAATATTTCTTAAAATCTGCAGCCATAATGTATATCTTTCATATTGACAATGACAGTATTTATTTTTTATACAAAATATTATAAATTTAAACACAAAATTTAAAATATTTTTACAATTAATATATTTTCTCCGTCAAATTAAAGCACTACTTTTACAAATTTCGTCTTGTCATCACTCAAAGTATTTATTTCTATTTTCTAAAAAATAATAATTATACATTAATATTAAAATACTCTTTTAATTTTTTCTTAAATTAGAAACATAACATTACATATATAATTATTTTATACATAAAGTCAAAAATATCAAAATATCAAAATATCAAAATCTTTTATACACTTTTACTGATCAATAAAATATTATTATTGTCCCGTAAAGAATAACATGGTGGTGTGGGATGGACTCATGACCGTATGGTCATAGGTTCAAACCCCCGATACCTCCAGGTCACTTGTCACTGTCACACATGGTTCGCCTACTGTGACTTGTCTTGTCGGGTCTAGTTTGCAGAGTATTAGGTTCGGCAGAAGGTTTGCCTAATTTGCAGAAGCAGTTGTGGGTTCTTACGTCGTAATAAAATAAAATAAAATACTATTATTTCCTAATGTATTACAAAATCACAAATAGTTTCTTTCAATTGGGATAGATGAAGTACTATATATATATATATATATTTTGTATGAAAAAATAGAGTTCGACAATAATGTTTTTAACGAAAAATTCAAACCTCGAATAGCAAACAAAAATAAATAAATGAAAACTTAGCAAGAGATATACAAGCTTGTATGTATAGATGCTCAATTGTCGACTAACTTCATATTATTATCGTATATGTATAATTATACATACAAATAAAGATGGAAAAGAAGAAACCGCGAAACAAGCACTTCAAGACATCGACGAAGAGAAGAAGACCGTCACTTATAAAATGTTGGAGGGCGAGTTACTTCAGTTGTACAAGAACATGATCATAATCTTCCACGTCGAGACCAAAAATGGCGTGGATTTCATAACTTGGACCATAACCTATGAGCTGATTAGCGCTGATACTCCACACCCTCTTTCACTTATCAAGTTTTTCATCGAGTTCACCAAAGAGATCGAAACTCACATCTTTGGATAATCGAGGGTTTGAAAAAAAAAAAAAAAAAGCCTCATTTTATTTGTTTTCTTTTATTTTCGAAAACAAGAAAAATAAAATCAAATAATAAAGGTCGCCATTCTTGGTTTTAATGGCGATCATTTAGAAATAAGAACTATCATGTACTTGTGAATAACTTGTATGAGGCTTGGTGAAGAATGTGTGAATTTGAATCTTTATTTTATGAATCGTGTGTTTGTATTTGTATTTAAATTATAATTGAATATGATACTCCCTCCGTCCCGGTGCAAGGTTGTCGTTTATTTTTTACACGTAGATTTTTAAATATTAGTATTATAATGGATTATAGTGAAAAAGACGAAAATATTCTTATTAGTATTGTGTAATATAAAAGTAATGACATTTATGTAAGTTGAAAGGATATTTATTATATTAGGTAAGTAGTACAATTACTAAATTAGGCAATGATAATCTTATTTTTGGATGGACGAAAATGAAAAATGACAATCTTTCAATGGGACGGATGGAATATTTTATTTGAAAAAAATAAGTACTCCATACTTCGGATAAATTTAGTTTCATTTTATTGTATTTTTACATCAGATCAGATATTTAATTTATTACTCCTTCTGGCACGACACACCACAGATGACCCATATATAAATCATTTTAATTAAACTCCTAACGTACCACTCAAAACCTTTTTATTTATATTTCTCTCATCAATTAATAAATATTTTTATTTACTTTTAAAACTCTTTATTTTTTATAAAATTAATTTATTGTAATTATAAATAAATATATCTTTTTATTCATTTTTATTATATAAAATTTTATTATCTACAAAATTATATTCACATTGCATATATTTTTATTTAGATTTAGTTCTAAAAATACTTTAAATACCAAAAATACTACTTATATAAAAAATATTATAATATATTATAACTTATTGTTAATAACTACTAATCTACACTATTTAAAATATTGTGTTCATAACAAAAGAATTCATCTCTCGGCAGAACCATGTAAGTACTATTTTCTACTGAAAATAACTTAATACTCCCTCCGTCCCATTGAAAGGTTATCATTTCCAAATTTAGTAATTGTACTATCTACTTAACATAATAAATACCCTTTCAACTTACAATATATTACAATGCTTTAAAAAAAAAAAAAAAAAAACTTACAATATATTACACAAATATCATACATTTTATATTACACCATGCTAATAGAGGTATTTTTATATTTTTTACTATAATCCAATATAATACTAATATTAAAAAAAATTCGTGAAAAACGCAAACGTCATCCTAATTTTTAAAAACATAAGCATAATCAAGTCAAATATTGTGTGTTTGTTTTTGTAAAATAGTAGGAAATGAAATTTTTTTATATGAAATATAAAAAAAAATATATATGTAAGAAATATAAAAATAATTAATGTATAATATATTATTTTTTTTGAAAAAATATATAAAAAAAAAATAGAAAGAACAAATATGCATCTCAAATTACTTATATAATAATAAAACAAATTAAAATGTAGTAATTAAAGGCAACCCCTATAAAATTTAATAAAATTATTATTACTACACATATTTAATTCAAATATTCAAAAATTTTCGTTCAAGCATCCTAAATTAAAATATCTAAAAAATAAAATTAGAGAATCTAAAATATTATTTGTAATTTTTTAAATTTTAATTATAATATATTATTTATATATAAAAAAATCAACTCCTATCAAAAAAAAAAAAATTCTGGTTGACTACCATTTTGATATAGTATGGAAATCTTCTACGCCACCATCACATCATCCCCTCTTTCCATCTCCACCTCACCTCTTAATTTTCTATTATATTTATATAATTTTAAAATTATATATAGTAAAAAAAAATACTATGCTAAAAATTTTAGTATATCAAAAAATTTTCTATGATTCAATATCATATTGAATTTTTTTTAATACGGTAATAATATATAATTTGATATTTTCAGTATATAGTAAAATAATCTTGATATTTTAATATTTGATGTATGGGAATATATTCAAATAATTTAATATATTGATACAAAAATTATTATTTTGAATTTTAGCATTTTGATATAAAATGGTATATATCGATACTTAAATTTTTTATATATGAAATTTTTGAAAAAAAAATTAAATCATTTACCTATAATTTTTATATTTTAATATTTACGTTAAACTCTTTCGTGATTTCATAAACTATGCATCTAAATTATCGGTTGTCTTTATTTAACAATTTTTTTATTTACACATAAATTTCAGAATCTCTGTTATTATACATCTGAAATTATAAATATATTTATTTCTATTATATTTAGATTCAAGAACAGTAAAACAAATTATTAAACATTTTTTTTATTTGTCCCAAATTCACTGCAACATTTTCAAATTTAGAAATAATTAATTATATTTATATACTTCATTTGTCTCAATACAATAGTCTTGTTTACCATTTTTATCCGTTTCAAAACAATAGTCTTATTTTTATAAAAAATCATATCACTGTAAAACTACCTTTACTTTTTCATTATTTGCCACTTTTTACACTAATATACTCACAAGGGCAAAACAGTCTTTTACCCATATTTTTTACCCACTACCGATATAATATCAATATTCCTTAAATCTCGTGTCAAATACAACCCAGACTATAATTCTGGGACGGAGAGAGTATATATTAATATACACTTCATTTTATTTCATCACATATGATAACTTCAAATAGGAGCATATTCTTAGCTTGACAAAACTGTGTATAACTCGAATTTCTGTATAAAAACCATCACGATGACTCATTAATGGCATACATTATTGATCTATATCGCTTGACATAATTCAGAATTCGTTGTTGAGATTCCCTGGGAGTTATGGCCAGCAACTGCTTCAACAGAATAACTACCAATAACCGCCTAACTGCCCAGCGGTTGGAACTGCTCAGCAACCGATTGCAACCGCCCCATTCCACCTGCTATAAAAAGGGCCAGATATCTTTACGAAAGAGGATCGATACTTCGATTTTAAATACTCTTAGCAATTAATTTTCGCAAGCAAGTCGTCTTCCTGTCTCCGAGAGCTTCAATCCTGTAAGGGAGTTCTCCACAGGAATGGCCAAGGGAGTAGGGGTTTCCTTCCTCCCTTGGCCAAGTCTTTACAGCTTTCTTAGATTAGATTACTGCTTTCGTTTACAGCCTTGTAACTCTAGTCTTTTCTTGCTTTCGTAGTAGATAATGAAATATCATTTGATTCTTCACCCTCATTTCTTCCACATTTTTTACACACTTATATAAAGTTTGAATTTAGAAAGTTTTATTTTACTGGTTTAGAGCTAGAGAAGAATTGATTATTTGAGTCTTATTATGCGCCAAAAGCAGTCTCAAGGTAGTTCAATGTAGTTAAGTACGTGGGAGCCTTGTCGACCTGTTTAACTGCTGTTCTGAATTCAATTTTGATTAAAAAGAGGTAACAGAAGGGTAAAGCCACTAATGAGGCAGATTTTGGGAAAATTAACGGGGCATAGGCGATGGTCTATTAGGTCGCAGAGATTCCTAGTGACAGTAGAGTTTCTTTCTTATAATGTCTTGAATCTGGGTGTCATTGAAGTCTTGTTGTAAATCCTTTAAGGGCAAAAATTACAGTGTTATGAATTCTTTATATTCAGTTTATATAATTACATCACTTCCTTCTCACCACTTTCGTATAATACATATATTTTCGATAACACACTTGCATCGCTCGCTCATTGTCTCCAGGGAAATCTATCCATTTAGTAATGCACAGTTCAGACACAACATCTCTCCTCTACTCTCTGTCGCTCATATATATATATATATACATATACATATAATGTGCCGCTCGCTCATGTCCCGTTCACTCGGTAACCACCATTCATCCATGTCCCGTTCATCTGGTCCCCACTTCCGCTCATGTCCCGAACATCTGGTCACCGCTGGCACTTCATCTTCCGCCCTCGCTTCGCTCGCTTCCGCTTACTTCACTTTTACTGCTTTACTTACTGCTTTCTTTAGCCTATCTTTTGGATCCGCTGCAGTTTTCGTTGCTTCTTCAAGATTTTCACCGTTGAAATTCATGACTTAAAATCTTTGTGTTTGACCTGAAAACTCACCAATAAAAAGAGTATAAATAATTATGATAACTACTCAGGGTCTACAACCACAAAATTTCTATATCTGATCGCTTTCATATAAACTTCCATTCGCTGATTTTCAAATATAAATTCCCTGTGACTTGTGTCAACACACACATACACAATTTTTAGTTATCATAATTTGGCGCCGTTGCCGGGGATTTTAAACTCATGAAAAGTATTTTGGTTGAGGATCTTTTGAAGCGCCATAAATTACTTTTAAATTCTTTGTAATAGTCATTTTTGCATTTTTCCTAATTTTGCTAACTTTTTCTTTGATGTGGCTATCATTATGTAGGGGTCCAAAGCGTTCTCAGCGTCCCACAAGTCCTACTCCTTCCGCTCGATCACAGAGACGTCTGTTCAGAGAGCAAGTGCGACAACAACGTATGGCGAACCAAGGAAATGTCACCGCTCCTTCTACTGTCGTCCTAACTTTCCAGACTGCCGCTGAGACATCTTCCAACTCTGCCACATCTGCATCTTCGCAGGAGGTGCCGCTCCACATCCCCACTGTGGTCCCCACTGTCGTTTCCCATGCGCTCACACCAACTGAAGAGCAACTAATGAGAGCCCTCAGTAGCATTCAACAGGGAATGGCGGGGCTGCAAGCGCACCTCGCTCAGGTGGAGAAAGCTCAAGCTGCGCAGGGGGCGTTTATCGCTTCCGAAACGGCTCAAGCTGCCAACACCGCTGTGATACCCCCTACCATCACTCCCCCACCACCTACTGCTGAGCCGTACCAGAGGGCTGAGGGACACAGGGCTGCTGATCGCCCGCTTGCTGAAGTCTCAATAGACGTTCACTACCAGTCCCTTCTGGATCATACATTAATTACAAGTTCTGCGCCCAGAGGCTCTGGCCATTATGAGGTGAAACCAACGCTTATCAGCCTGGCGAGCCAGAGCCAATTCCATGGGCCGCTCAACGAAAGCCCTTATGAGCATCTACAGAACTTTAACAGGATCGCTGCCACCTCCAAATCTCACGGCATCACGGAGGATGCTGCAAAACTGATACTGTATCCATTCTCTTTTTCTGGAGAAGCCAGAAAATGGTTCGATAACCTTTATCCCATTCCTGGCTCTTTTAATAAAGCTGCGCAGGCTTCGTGAGTAAATACCATCCTGTATCGAAGACCATTCACCAAAGGAATGAAATACTCACTTTCAAGATGGCGAGTGATGAGACCCTTCCCATAGCCTGGAGCCGATTCAAACAATTGCTCCGCAACTGCCCTCATCATGAAATTCCGGACTTCATGAAGCTGCAAATTTTCTACTCAGGAACCACTCCTGAACTAAGGATGTCTTTGGATGCAGCGACAGGAAGCTCGCTGATGGGGCGTTGTGCCTCAAAAGCGAGGGCTTTAATAGAGAAGATGGCAGTCAATCAGTCAAGTTGGCCAGAGTCCAACAGGCCTGAGCCATCGAGGGGTCTATACCAGGTTCCTGCTTCCGTTTCTCACGATGTAAGGATCGACAGTTTGTCGATCCAAGTCAAGGAGCTGTCTAAGCTCATGAAGCAGGACCTGCGTAATAAAGGAAAACAGGCGCTGCACGAGGCCGTGGAATGTGAGGAAAGAGCTTTTGAAGACCAACAAGGTCCGCAGGTTGCTGAGTGCTCGATTGAAGAGGCTCAGAACCCAGCGGAGGTCTACTATATGGCTGGCAGGAATACCCCTCAATTCCAGTAGTTCCAAAAGGGGCAGGCTCAAGGCCCCGCTGGACCGCGTTCTCAGCAACAATTTCAGAGGCCACAACAGTTCGCTGCGCAACAATATCATCAAAGGGATATTATCCACATCAACAACAATACTTTCAAGCCCCCACTTTCCGCAGCAGGCACCTGCATTTGCTCAACCTCCCACAGCGGCCCAAGCACCGCTGAATCTGAAGGAGCTCTGGAGGAACACAGAGCGAGCAAATCAGGAGTTCCAAAGAAATACTTCTGATCAAAATGCTGGAAATACAAGTTGGGTAGATAGCTGAAGCTATGAAGCTAAAACAGAAAGGAAAGTTGATTGGGACAGTCTAGAGTGTCCCGAACCAAGCAAAGGCTATCGAAACAAGGGGAGGGAAGCGGACACAATCACCACCGCTGCCATACAGAGGTATTAATCATTCTCCTAACCCTATTGTTGCTAACGTGCCTGTGCAGGATGCAGTTATACAGATTCCAACTGAGGAGGAAGGCCTATCCCAATCTCGAGGGATACTAGCCGCTCGGGTGCCTAAACCGAAGGAAAAGGGTCCGGCTCAGCCTTTGGCTTGAGCCCCCTTTTCCACAAGACTTGGGAAGAAGGACAACTCCAAGGAATTTGATAAGTTTGTGCACACTTTTCGTAGTCTTCAAATTACTATACCGTTTGCTGATGCTTTGTCACATATGCCACATTACGCTAATTTTAAAGAAATAGAAATACTTTGGGCAGGAGTTAATGAGAGTATTAATTTAACTTTCAAACTCAAATTAAACAAATCCACAAAACTTTTGAAACCTCCGTATAAATGAGAATAAATATTTTTTTTATTTTAAATAAAAAATAATTTCTCCTTTCATCTACGGGTGTATTTGTTTGGGAGATTGAATTAGATTTTCACTATTTATCTCATTTTTTTCCCAAAAAACATCAAATCAAATACCTATTTTTTATTTTTTATATTATACTAAAAATCAATTTTACATTCAAAATATCACATCAACACCTATTTATATCACATCATACAACTATTCAAATTCAAAATTTTTACTATTCAAATGCCAACTCAAAATCTAAACCCCAAACAAAAACATCCTAAAATTGCGCTAGGTTGGATATAAAAATAAAAATTAATAATATTTAATATTAAAATGAAAAAAATAAAAAGTAAAGTAATTTATTATAAAAAATTTATTAAAAAATGATAAGAAGTAATACAATAAATAGAAAATCAGCTTGGATAGGGCACTGAATTGTTAATTTTAACACCATATTGATCCTTAAATTTATATAATATTGAAATTATGATTTCTAATTAGTTATTATGGGTTAGAGTAGGAGTAATAAAACTACGAATAAATAATATTTTTTATTAGAAACAAATTATGAATAAATTTAATAGATGAATAAAAAAAATATTTACATAATTTTGGCGATTCAATTTTTATATTTTAAAAAAAAAATATTATTTACTATTATTTCTTTACATAGTAAAAAATAAAATTATTTTAATTATAATAAACAGGTAAAATTAAAATATTTCTACTCTTACTTTTTAATATAAAAATAATAATAAACTTTAAAAAGTAAAAATATTTATATTTATATTAAAAAATTAAAATCCATAATTACTAAAAATATATTCTTTCTCTCTATTTTTACATTTATATTTTTACATATAATATTCAAAATATTCTTATATTTGTATAATTTTTTATACCGTTATATTATACTAATAAAAATATTTTTAATTTTTTTCATTCATTTATATTATATTTTAATACGACTATTAATATTTAAATATCAATATGAACAAAAAAAAAAAAAAAAAAAACAAATCTTAATATTCTAATAGACTGAGGTAGTATATATATTTATATTATTATAAAAAAATTCGAAAATAACAAAATATACAGAAAAAAATATTATTAAAATCAAACTCAAATCAAAATTTTACTTTAAATTAATTTCTAATCTAAATCAAATAAATCATATTCTGTCGGTCCGAATATAATAGTCTTATTTATTATTTTTGTTTGTTTCAAAATAATAGTATAAATAATCATATCACTGTAAAAGTATCCTTACTTTTTTTTTATTTTTATTACACAATTGTTACTACTTTCTATTTTAATACACTGGTAAGGATAAAAATCTTTTATTTATATTTTTTACCGACTACTAATATAATATTAATATAATATCAATATTCCTCCAACCCAACTAAGACTATAATTTTGGGACCCAGAAATTATCATTTAATTATATCTAAAAAAGAATGAAAAGCTATTGGCTTCCGCATGAGCATACAAGCACAGTGACGCGTGAGAGACACGTGCTCGATCAAAAACAGCGACACGCAGTCACACGCACACACCCGTATGTGTGTCTGTGTGTGTGAGTAGCCATTAATTTTACATTAGTTAAAACCACATGTGTTTCATCTTCGCCTCTCTCTCTCTCTCTGACGGCTCACTGCTCCAAATTTCCCTAATTCCCTTCCCCTTCTTTATCTTCTTCCAAATTCATTTCCATCCGCAACAGGTAAATTCTCAGCTGCTCTTCCCCCACCTTCGATTCCACGCTTCAATTCTCTCAATTTTGTTGCTTTCTATTTCATTTAATTCGCTGTTGCTCGATACATACATAAATTTTGCTCTTATTTTTATACAGATCTTATGTTTTTAGTTGGGTGTGATGATTCTGAGTTTAGGAGCTTTGGGAATTCCGTAGAATCTTAGCTTCCCTGTGTTGATTTTAGGTTTAGATTCGGATCACGCGAATTATGTTTGAGTGCGAATCTGGGTAAGATTGTTCGAATTTATTTGGCTTTCGATTTAGTCGCTGTTGAAAAAAGGCTTTCTAATTTTATGCCATTTGTAGTGATTAAGGGTTATGTTCGGGTTGGATTTGCATATGAATTGGTTTCTTTATGGTTTCACTTTCGTTTAGATTTGCTGTCTATGGTGTGATACTGATGAAGCAATTTATTAATTCATTGATAGAAGTTCATGAATCTACTTATAAAAAGGAATGTTATATGGTTTTGATGAGATCTCCTTTTTTTTTTTTTTTTTTTTTCTCTTTTTTGGTAGTTAGATTTTATGATAATAGCATCCTGGCCAAATGGAAATTTATAATTTTTCTATGCTATTGGAAATTATTTGAATGGTTAATATATATATATATATATATGGTGGCGGTTGCAGTGCTGAATTAAATTGAACATTGTGCTGAAAAACACATACACAAGATTATTATAGACATCATTGTATATGTTAATATGCAGCACATACAAACAGTGCATAGCTATAGTCTCGTACAACGCACATAACAACAGTTGATTTTAGCACATGACATAATAACATATGGTGTTTATGGGTGTGATTGCTTGGGAGTTTGGATTTTGAATTGGGATTTTAAGAGTAAAAATTTTGAATCGGAATAATTGTATGATATGATATTTTAAATATAAAATTGATTTTTTGTATTATATAAAAAATAAAAAATAGATATTTGATTTCATGTTTTTTAGGGAAAAAAAATTGATAGAATAGTTGAAATCTTGACAAATCCCCCAAACAAACACACTCATATATATTATAGGTGCTGATTTGAAAAATCAGTATAGCACCACCGTAACCGGCAGATCCGGTAACATAAGATGTCAGCACAGTGCTGATTATAAAATGCTAGCTCGAAGATTGAATTATTGCTTTCGTGATGTTTGAATTGTTTTGAGCTCTAAATTGGGTTGAATTTAAAGTTTTGCTTTCTTATTGTTTAACCTTTGCTTTTTTTGTGTTTAAATTTTGCTTTCTCGGCGTTAAATTGTTTTTAGCTTTAAACTGTTTGAACTTAAAACTTTGCTTTTTGACGTTTAAAATTGCTTTATTGGTGTTTAAACTTTACTTTCCTGCAATTTAAAATTTGCTGATCTCTGCAATTAATCCTGAACATAGAATCAAAGATTACGGATTATAGCTAGTAAGCACTCGTTCCCGTGTATATATATATATATGTATGTGTGTGCGCACTCAACTTTTTTACTTTTGTCTAGGCTGTAATAATATTTCATGGAGGTGGTTCAAGGATCAATCATTTGAGTAGCTTCTAGGTACATTCGATTCCGTCGAAAAATGGATGATGAAAAAGGTCTTGATCTGAGCTTGTCTTTACGTGGTGGAAGTAATACCTCACAGAAAGGTAACCGCGGTAGTGCATCCGAAAATAGATCAGACGAAGGTGATAGAGACACCAAATTGATAAATGAGTTCAAGAATTTTCTAGAAGGCGGGACCCAGCAGCATCCCCCGAAAGTCGAGGAGAACATATACAGCAACTTCGGTAAAGCCGTCGTCGATGCGGAAACGTCTAAGAACTCAAACACCGGCGGGATGTGGAACAATGATAGCAGGTCTGCTGAAACCGAGGAAGAACGGAGATCGAGCGTCGGCGAGAAGCGTAAAGGCTTGTTTCCCGATGCAAACCAGCAGAAGAAGCTAGAACGAGAAGGTAGTAATCTGGATTTAGTCGAGAAGACGAAAGTGTCGCATATATCAATAACTACCGACGAGGGGTCGACGGCCGAAAACGAAGATGTAGCTGATTCTGAAGTGGACGGTTCAACGTCGAGGCACGCTTCGCAAACCGACGACATGACGAAACGATTCGTATCGAGTGGTAGCATTTCCAGGATTCAAAAGGACGGATTTGGTGATTCAAGTGGCGTTGAAATTTTAGGACAGAAGAGATACGCTATTTCGTCGGAAAAGGAGATAATAAACAGGGGAAACATGCCCTCGTACGGTGTTCCGTACCCGGGTCAACCGGTGAACACTAACATGCCCTACACATCGCCAGGAAACAATTCGAACTCTATTGGTGCACCTAATTTGCCTAGCTACCCGATGCCCGGAATATTGCATGGAATGACTGCCCCTAACGGCGAAAGACCTGCGGCGATGCAATCGAATTTTCCTTTAATGTTTGGGTACAATCCTGTCCAGCTTCCAGCGCTGGATCGGGATAATTCACGAGGTGCTACGTCTCATCATCTACCTGTTCACCCTGCTTACATCGGAAGAAATCCTCCTGAAGCTCTTAATGACAACCGGAAGCTATCTGAAGGTTTTCTTCTATTTCTTTTACTTTACTTTAGTCATGCTAATAATGTTTTCATTAAATTTGTGATATGTTTGTAAAATTGAAAGTTATCGATTTTTTGTTGGATTTTGATAGTGTCTAGTGTCGTTAAAATTGTGGTTCAAAAGTATAGGTAGAGTCATAGTACTTAGCCTTTAAACCATTAGTTCGATTTTCTGATCTTATACGGAATAATGTGTGGAGCAAACATATTATTTCATACCATAGATGGTTGATGCTCTGAGAATCTTTTGGCCTATGAAAATTTCTGTCGATGTATCGTTGAAATCCTTGCTCTAGTTATATCTGATGCTATGTAGTTTCTTTTTCTCTTTTCGGAAAAAAGATAGTAATTTTTGTTCTGTAAGTGAGAATTCTGTATCATTTTAGTCTTTTTAATCTATTTTAAATGGAACTAGCTTTGTATCTCTCTATTTAATATATAATATGCGTCGCCTGATTTCGATTAATTTAATGTTAGGTCCTATGCCCATGATGTCACACAAGTCTCCTCAATCCACACAATTCGACGGGAGGACTATAGAGCACGGAAAAAACAATGGAAAGCAGCAAATCGGAGAAGAAGGCTCTTCTTCTCACCGAGAATCTGATCTGCGAGGAACCCTTCAGGTAAGAGATACACCCGATCAGCCTCAGCCTCGAGCCGAAACACCACCTTCCGAGTATCCATCCATAAGGCCTGGAATAGCCGCGGACCTCAAATTTGGCGGATGTGGCAGCTACCCGAACCTTCCATGGGTGTCCACTACTGGGTCGGGACCCCATGGCAGGACAATTTCCGGGGTGACATACAGATACAGCGCTACTCAAATAAGAATCGTCTGCGCCTGTCACGGTTCTCACTTGTCGCCTGAAGAATTTGTGCGGCACGCCAGTGAAGAAAGCAGCACTCCAGGCACAGGTGCCGGTTTAGCATCAGTTTCAGGTAACAATCCTTCTGCCTCGGCTCACAGCTGATTTTATTTTATTATTTTGTTTTTTTTTTTTTTTCGGAATTATGCTCTTTAAGTTGATTTATATTTCATGAAAGGAATAAGCTTTACTGCGCATCTGTTGTATATCTACTTAATTTCAATCTTGATCGATTCCTGTTTGGTGTGTAAATTTTATTATTACTTGTGCCGTCTTGAACCAGTGTATGTAGTTTTCGGGTTTAGTATTAGGTCTATTGTTGGTGTTTATTTGGTCATAGCGGTGAATGCCGATGAATCGCAAGCTGAATATTTAACCATGGTTGATGTTTGGGTAGAAAATTGGAATTTTTTTATGCAGTTTATTTTCATTCGGTATGATATTGTATTCTTTGTTTCTCTACAAAATTGGAGTGTTTTTTATTATTTTTTATTTTTTTTAGCTTTAATTTTGTTGGAAAAAGCAATATTATATTTATAGGAAATTGCTATTGTTGGTATCACGTTATCAGGTGGTAGGAAGAAGTGGAATACCAAGGGTTTGTTTCTTTTCTAAAGATTTCTCTACACATTTTTTCAAAAAAAAAATTAATATATTTTACATTATTTTTTTATATTATCTACACAATTCTTTATAAAAAAAAAAAAAAAAAAAAAAAAAAAAAATTAAACCTAAACACAAAACAAACACATATTTCAGCATATGTTATAGGATTGATTCAGCGACACCGGTGGGACAAGTCATCTCCAGCGAGCCACGCAGGCAACTCCGGCGTCGGAGGATTAAAACAGCGAAATTTGTTCACTTATGAGATTAGTTTGCGATATGTTCCACTTACGGGACTAAAATGATAAGGGGATCCAGTTACGGGACTAAAAAAGCAGTTTACCCTATATTATATTATAACTTAGCATATGCTATCTTATAATCAGTGGCGGAGCTAGAATTGTTTTGTTGAGGGAGCTAAAGGTTTCGTCGAGGCTGATAAATCAAAAGGTTTCGTTGAGGCTGATAAATCAAATATTTTTATTATTTTGAATGAAATTGATGGTAAATATACATTAATATATTCAATCAATATAAATAATCCCTCTGTCTCATTGAAAGATTATCATTTTCTATTTTCGTCTGTCCCAAAATAAGGTTACCATTTTCTAATTTAGTAATTGTACTACCTACATAAGATAATAAATATATTTTTGTCTTTTTTTTACTACAATCCAATATAATATCAATATTAAAAAATTTACGTGGTAAAAACAAACGCCACCCTTCCAATAGGACGGAGGGAGTATATTAAATTGATAAGAATTAATCGATTCTGAATAGACAAACGATTTATATAACTAATAATATAGTCGACGTAACAGCGACATGATGGCTCGGGGGCTCGGGATCCCCCAAGTCCCTATGTGGCTCTGTTCCACTGCTTCTAACATAATATATATTGATATATATTTAAATATATATTGATCGTCTTTATAACATATGTTGATTCGGTCAAATCAGTCCATGCTGACTTTGCCAATTATCAGAGGGTTGGGAGCCCATTAGCAATGGCTTTTTTAAAAACAAATTACTAAGTCAAAGGCCAGTTAAAAAATTTAATTCCAAGTTATTACAACTAATAAAATATTAAGGGGTTGTTTATTTAGGGTGTGTTTGTCTGATGTTTGGATTTAAATAGTACTATATCCGTCCCACCTATCATATCTATGTTTTCATTTATATCTATCTTATGTCACTTTTTTTTTAGAAAATAATTATGCATCTTAATCTCATTTTAAATTTAATTTTTTTTAATTTTAATGAAACTAATTAGTTATCTTAATATTAATTTATAATAATTTATATTATATATTAAATATTTTCACTAATACATTTTTAACTATCTACTAATTATACTTAGCCTAAATTCTCGTGTTTACAGTAACCAAGACATCCATTGTGGGACGGAGGGAGTAAAAATTTTGAATTTGAATAGTTGTATGATGTAATATTTTGAATGTAAAATTGATTTTTAGTATAATATAAAAAATAAAAAATAAGTGTTTGATTTGCTATTTTTGGAGCAAAAAATTGGATGAATGATGTATTTTAGGGAAAATCTCCCAAACAAACACACCCTTAGTGTTTTTATTTGAAAATTATCTCAGGTATGAGATATAAGGAACTGTATTGATAATATAAAAAATAATATTTTATATTTTAATGTTGATTTTTGTGAAACGATAAAATATATATTAGAAATTGTATAGAAAAAAAAAAAAAAATTGGGCAAAAAAACCCGAAGTGTTTGCCGATTATTTATTAGATGATTGAATTAGTTGTCAGATGTTAGTATTATTTACTTAATTGGTTTGATGGTTTGAATACTATTTTGTAATGAAAAAGACAATTAGAGTCATTTTATATTTTATTTTTTAAAATATTTTGTTGCTTTTTTGTGTGTAGATTTTTTTAAAAAAATTTTGTGAAAATTAATATATTTTATTGAAAAATATAATAGTTTTTATTAGAAAATGTAAAATATAAAAAATAAATATCTAATACTTATGTTAAATACTATTAAGATATGTTTGTTCGGAGTTTGGAATTTGAGTTGAAATTTGAATAGTAAAAATTTTGAATTTAAATAGGTGTATGATGTGATATAAATAGGTGTTGATGTGATGTTTTGAATGTAAAACTAATTTTTAGTATAATATAAAAAATAAAAAATAGGTGTTTGATTTGATGTTTTTGGGGGAAAAATGGGATGAATAGTGAAAATTAAATCCAATCCCCCAAACAAAACGTTAATTTATTGTTTACTATACTTATTATTTTTAATAAATTTATTCTATTTTATTTATTTAGGGTTTATTTCTTTAGATGGGTTCGGAGAAATTTAAGTTTGGGTTTAATTTTTATTTGAATTTTGAGATGGGTTTGAATTTTTATGTTTCTTTTGTGTTTAAGTTTGGTTGGGATTTCGTGAGTTTTGATGTGTATTGATTTGATTGTTACGAATAAAATAATACTCCTATAAATGTATATTAATTTGTATAGTTTAATTATAAATTTATATTATACCTACATATATATTTTTAAATTTTTATTTATTTATAATAAAAAAATATTCTCTACAAAATAACATATATATTGTATATATTTTATTAAATTATAATTATTATAAATTATTTTTATATTTATAGTTTTTAAAAAAACTATAAAAAAAAAAAAAAAAAAAAAAAAAAAGAAAAGAGAGACAGATGCTGAAACGTCCGGTGACGTCCCCCAAACTCCTCCAAGGCTGGATGACTGTGCAGGAGAAATCACCCTTATATTTTTCACTTTAATTTTAATAAATTGATATATTTTAGAATATTAATAATTTTAAATTTATAAAAATAAAATTATAATTTACGCAAAAATGAAAATATATAAAATAATTATTAAATAATACAATCGAAAATAATAGTAATATGCATGTAATGGGATGACTAATGTTTAAGATCAAATAACAAATAAAAGGATTAAAGTAAGAATATTATTGTAAAAGTTGAGAAAGATATATATTATTGAGTATTAATAAGTATTTGAAATGAGAAATTGAAGAATGAATTTGAAGGGTAAATTGTGATTTTGGCACTTCTAAGTTATCCATGTTTATATAAAATTGATTTTTAGTATAATATAAAATATAAAAAATAAATATTTGATTTGATATTTTTAGAGAGAAAAAATTGGATGAATAGTGAATTTAAAATCCAATCCCCCAAACAAACACACCCTAAATATTTTAGGAAATATCCGAACTTCTAAAATACTTCCTTGTTTCATAAAATTATGTCACCATTTTTTTTTAATAATAAAATTTTAAATTAAAATATTTATTTAATGTAATATAAATATATTTTAATGTTATAAAGATATAAATTGATGCCATCTTATGAAAATAATATTTAGTATAGTATGAAATATAAAAATAAATAAATAATTAATTTGATATAGGTTAAAAAAAAACAAAGTATTAATGGTAAAAATCTAGTCAAAACCTCAAACAAACACCACATTGAATTTTGATGTATCTCTTTTTTCTTTTTTTTTTTTCCTATAATTTATATATATATATATATATATTGAAGTAAAGATGTTGGATTTTAATTCACATTATTTTTTTTTTTTATTTCACGCACTCAAATACAACTGTTCCCCGGGTTGTATTTGCACATCATAAAGTGTATTGTATTGTTCGATCATGCTCAACTCATAACGTGAAGTATTAACGGTGATGCTCCACTTTATCAATAATCACAATTTGGGCGTGTGAATTGTAATTGTCATTAATTACTAACGACGAGAATTTTTTATGCAATATTATGGAAACTACGGGTAACTAATATATAATTTTAGAACCATAAGAAATTTTCAGCAAATTCAGAGGTAAAAAGGATATTCATTTTATCATTTACATCTGCCTAGTAAAATGTATAATTCTTTTTTTTTTTTTAGTAAAAATACATAACAACTAAATATTACAATACTCAACTTTTTGTTATTATTATTATTTAATTATCATTAATGTTAAGGGTAAAAAAAGACTTTATACCTTATAAAAAATATTTTTTATTTTTATATAAATTACAAACACACCATTAAATATATATTATTGTTTTATATACTCCTCTCGTCCTATATCAAAGTATCTATTTTTCTATTTTAGTATGTCTCATAACAAGATATTCATTTCTTTTTTTAGTAACTGTATTATCTATCTAACATTAGAAATATCCTTACAACTTACAATATATTACACAAACGTTATTACCTTTATATCACACCATATTAATAAAGTTATTTTAGTCATTTCTACTATATTTTTACTTCATCATAATATAATACTAATATTTCTAAAAATACGTGCAAAAAGCAAATTGATACCTATTATGTACCAATGACAAATTTATCCAATGTACCAATGACAAATTTATCCAATTTTTTTTACACAATAAGTATGAATAAAAGATTGTTATTTTTAAGCTATTATAATATATATATATATATACATTTGGTATTTTTATTAAAAATTTACTATTATCAAACAACAAAACTCAAATAAACAAAATTTGAAAAAAAAAAAAAAAACATGAGTAATAATTACACATAAGTTGGTTGCACAATATATTAGATAAAATGCTAAATTGGGAAATTGAGGACCATCCATAAAAGTCAGCATTAACTATTTCTTCATAAGGGACCAGCTCAATTAAAGCCTGTCTCATCTTTTCTTTTATTTAAAATAATATATATATATATAAATATATATTCTACAATACTTCCGTCACACTTATTATATTAAAATAATTAATTAATCTAATATAATTTAAATATT